CTGGGGGCACTTTCCGTGAGAACATGTACGAGGCCCAGGGACACACGAGACTGCCAGAATCGCATCCAGGGGCGCAGTATTTCTGGCGAGAGGGTGAGGAGACGCCAGAATATGCCCGGACAGTATAAACTGTATGCATTTATGGAGATATAAACATTGTAGAATTATGAAGTCAGAAGCAATATGGACTTAGTACTTGGCAAAAGATGAGTACATCTGTATGAGATTTACCCTACCAAAGGCCCTTTTGTCACGAGCCCCAATCATTTCGAAGCCAGTTGAAAATTCATCAAAAGGATGATACCTATATTCACAGTCTAGCCTTACTCGAGTTCACTTCCTCACCATTACAGCCTGTAAAAAAAAGAAAAAGCAAGTTACAAGGGAACCGGGAATCTGACAGAAAACTAATTACTGTATTGATAAATAGTAGTTACTATATCATTTCGCGCAGAGGCAGGACCAGCAGTGTGGCGAAGGAAGATGATGTCTAAGGAGAGTGCTTCTTCTTCATCTGGTTGTTTAAGGCGATACAATGACTAGCCTCTTGTATCTATTATCCATCGCTACTTTATCCTTTCTATAAATAAAATATACAAGGTGTTCAGGATATCTCTGAGTATTAATGATATAGTTCCTATCAATATATCTAATCATCTAGTTATTCTCACACATCCCACCACCCCTCCATATATGACCGCAGATCGATTTCCTCCGGCCGCAGCACATGCGGCGTCAAGTCCGCATTTTGCATCGTCTCTCGCGTCGTCCATCCATTGCCAAAGTACGCAAACCGATTGCCGCTGGGGTTGGTGTAGGTGTACTCCCAGTCCTCCCATCGGGGATCCCGACGCAGATAGTTGAGATGCGCCGCGCTACCGGGGAACAACCCGTGGATGCGTCCCCGGGACGACCTCCGTTGTACCATGACCGGCAGTTCTTCTGGCCCGGCGTGGAGTCATCGTTCCCCGTCCACACGGTCCGGGGTAGAATCGATCGCAGTACTCGATAAAGTCATCAGCGGCCTGTTTGGAGGCGCCAACGACTGGATGCCTTGGCTGCGAATCTTGCGCAATATCTTGGCAATATACGTGATCTGGTTCTCGAGACTATTGGGCACGCTGCCACCGTGGCCGGTGGAATGTGGTCCTCCGATCCATAGCAGATTAGGGAATCCCGGGGTGGCCACCCCAAGATAGTTGTAGGGGAATCCCCAAAGGCCATCGTGTTTCCAGGCTGTCTTGAGGTCGATGCCGTCGGCAATGATGGAAAAGGGCGGCGCATGGTCAACATTGGCCCCGTGGCGCAGATGACCACGTCAACAGGCCGCTCCTGGCCATCGACTGTCACAATTCCTGTGGACGTGAACCGCTGGATAGGCGTCTGGATATAGCTGACGTTAGGCTTGGTCAGCGCCTCGAGATACCCCGGTCCAGGCGTGGGACGACGACAGTTGGGCGGGAAATCGGGGATGATCAAGTCACCCAATTCGGGCTTGTCGATGACGCGTCCCAGCATCAACTGCGTCCACTTCTCGCGCTGTTCGAGGTTTTCCGGTGAGTTTTTGAAAATGGCCCCAAAGCGGGAAAAGTATCCTTGTTCGATAGATTTGCGGTATTGCTGGTATCGCTCGGAGTCCTTAAAGGTTTCGCGTTGCTCAGGAGGAATAATGTTTGGCTCGAGCCGACGCACGCCGGTGGTGCCAAATGAATCGGCGACCCAGGTGCGGTTGCGAGCGTAGTGGTCAACGTGGTGAGCCAGTGGCTGGATAGAGGGCAGCACTTGCAGTCCCGAGGCACCGTTGCCGATCAGCGCGATGCGTCTCCTGTAGTTCCACGTCGTGTTGCCAGTGTGACGAGTGGAAGAGCTTTCCTTGGTATTGGTTTATACCTTCATAGTTGGGCAATTGCCAGTCGTTAAAGTGACCGATAGCATTGATGAGTACATCTAGCTCTTCTTGATATGTCTAGATACGTCAGTTCAAGTCTGATAATGAACAAGAGGTCCGGTACCTTGTTGTTCTTCAAATCCTGTATAGTGACACGCCATTTAGCAAGCTGGGGAATCCACTCCGCCCTCTCAACCTTCTGCTGCAGCCGTAGATGTCGATAGACGTCGTACTTGCGCGCCACGCCCTGCCAGTATTCGCGGATTTCTGCGCCCTGGGCAAATTCCTCTGTCCATTGTGTGTTGGGCGCAAATCCAGATTGGTAGACATGAGCCGGGATATCGCATCGAACACCTGGATATGTGTTCTCGAACCTGTTCTGTCAGCGCGATAGAGAGCGATCTGAGAGATGTCCTACCAGGTGCCTCCCTACGGGTCGTGAGTATGGGTCATTGACCATTCTAAGGAGGGAACATAACGTACTACGTCTGCATTCTTGTCATAGATCTTCAAATCCAGACCCGGTAACTTGGCAGGAAAGAGCACGCCCGCTGTGATGCCTGCTAGCCCAGCGCCGATCACACCAACTTTGATCGGTCGAACCTGGTCAATCGGATGCTCTTCAATCTCAAATGCTGGTTTACTCTCGGGGGACTTCACATTCACAGGGACCGCATCCACAGCTGAAGGACTGTATGCATCTCGGGTTAAGAATGGAAGCGTTGTGGCTGCAACAAGAGGTCCTTTGACGGCCATGGTGATCTTAGCTTCGATGTATGCTACTGAGCTCTGACGATAACTTTGCCATATAAATATCATAGCCTGCAACGACGAAAGGGCGCTCTACTTACCAATGCGGGGATTATAGCGTCTAGCGATCGTCTCTACACGCCATCCATTGCGTATCTGAGGTCTTCGAGCCCGAATCGGCTTGCCCCCTGCACCGCTCCGGATAGCGCATCACATCATAGTGGACCGCAATTGTGTCACGTAGACTTTTGCAATTTGCAGTATTTTATTTTGTGAGTAATTATTCTACGCCTTATCTCGTCTCCAATTGACTCTGTCGATATCTGCGTCTCCATGGAGTATGCGAGATCGGAGTCTCCAATTCATGTTGTCATCCTGTATAGCTAGCATCGATTGGCTATTCCCTTTCCATCTACGTCTATTTTTCACAACTTATGCAAGGGACAGTGATTGTGTTACGCTGATCTATCTATCTGCATCGAATTTTTTCCACATCCCATCAATCATCTCGTGTCGCTTCAGCGCCCAGTCAAATATAGGATACCACTCATTCTTGCGATATGCTTCGTACAAGCGGGCAATATTCTGCGCAAAAGCAGGCAAAATTCCACTCATCCGACACCGGTACGACCTTCTCAATCTTCCCTGTCTCATTACAGTAGATCTCCAGCTTAGTCCCCGACAGTTCTAGGGTCTAAAAGGTACATACTTGGCAGAGGGTCATCGAGGTCTAACCGGAAGAAGGTAGTTCTGGCTCCGGTTTCAGACCTTAGGAAGTTAAACTCTAGACCTCACTAAGCTACGTCCAGTACATCCATACTCCAGCGAGTGTTCCACTACGAAATCTACGCCAGCTGTCTGTTGGGTTTAGAGGCTTGAAACCGGATCGATCGTACGAGATTTCAAACATTCAGGGTTATTCTGGTGTGTCATATCTGGCAGCAACGGACGAATGATGCGTGTATTTCCTGACGTGGCATGCAGCGGAAGCGGGGTTATACTAAGTATTCATAGAATTTCCTCATTCCAGACATATGTCAGCATCGAATTTATCACCTATAGAGTACTTTCAATAATACATGCCTCTACAGTTAGGTTGTACCGTATACTCCACTACAATCCAAGCATTAAAGGCATGAGATAACGATAGACACAAAGACGAGGTTCCAGCCCACCTGCATGATGACATAGCTCGGGACCATTATCCCCACCGAGTTGAATAATATATTAAACGTAGAACCTGCAGCAGAAACAGGACTTTTTCTCCTCCCAAACCTGAATCTAAGACGAATAGAAACGGCGATTTCACTCGAACCCCGCCTTTCTCGCCTTGAATGCACCAGTCTAGCCGGGGTTGTACTGGGAATTCTTTTCCTGAATACATATTCATGCTTACCACGCTGGGTATTGGACGAATAACCGTGCCGTAGCTAAGGACATTACCTAGGGCGGTATTCCTCACTCCCTTTCCACCACTTTGACATTCTAGCATGTCGACGACGTCCACCACCCGTCGAGTGATGGCAACTGCACTATCAAACGAGGTGAATTACCCCAGCACTGTTTCAAACCGTCACGGAAGTCCAGGAAATCGTCTGGGAACCATAACAGTAATGATAACCTCGATATTATGTTCCACACGTAAGCTCATAATCCCACCCTCGATCTCCAGTAGGAAATATTCGACACTGACTCTCCTTATCGAGACCATCCGCAGGAATGTGCTGGAAACGATCCTCCCAATCTCCTCACCAATAACAAGCTGTCTTATATTTCGCAGGGTCGGAGAATACACAGCCCGTAGTCCCACGATTGCTTTTGCACTATGCATAGTGCCAATGAAGCCATTTCTCAGGCGACTGCCACGTTGCGACCCAGTGGCCATTCCACATATATCGACTTCCCGGCAATCCGGCTCGGACGGACTGAAACTATTATCATCCAGGCTAGTTACCTACATTTGGAAAATCCAAGTTTTATTCGGAATGCATAGATTAAAGCTCCCATATGCCAGCTCTCAGCACCATCCACACAGCACGAATCGGATGATCCCAGGTTAAGGTGATGAACAACTCTGTCTTCTACCCATTGGCGCTTTCCCAAGCACGTGCGAAAATTTTATCTCTTTGATTATAGTATTTTAAGCGATGGAGAATGGTCGCGATGGAGAATGGTCAACCCCTCTGTTTTAGCGGTAGAGAATGCGATCTCCCCTTGATGGAGACGTGTCTTGGGCATTTTGGGGAAAGAAAGCGGCGGGGTTGTCGAGCGTCGTGTAATGGCGACCAGATCAAAACTTGCGGTCCACAATGGCCACGGAATGAAAAGAACGGCAAGAAACGCCTACAGATTCTCCAATTGCTGATTTTAGTATCCCATATTCACAAGGGACTCAGCTACTATATAGCGACCCGAATAGTATGATTCGCACACCTCCGAACTTCCCCGTATCTCCCGACGTGGTGATGTCATCCACATGAACAAGCTCTAGCACTGCTGGGTGAAAACTGGTTCCTGATGTAGCCCTGGTAGTTGAAATCCGCAATGCATTGTACGACAGTTTATTAATAAATACATAAGGGTTATCAATATCGGCCGAGGTATCACGGAGAGCACCTTGTTGAAGCACTGCAATCGAAATAGTTCTAGTTACGATGAGGGTATTGTATATATTCACGCCTCTATTACTGTGTCTCCTATGGAGCTATAGTGGTGTGTGTGATATGGTACACATGCACCGCAAGTCAATGTTTCCCCAGTTGTTTTGACCGTGCAGAAAAAAAAGTGGCAACCAGTCCAGTCCTTTGCTATATGGGGTCATGTTTGAGGTGAGTTATCCATTTACTATTCCAACTACTACTGCTACCGGAAAGGAGCGGACGTTTATCTGTATAGGAAATGGATCGCTCAGGTATAACGTTCCAACCCTGTCCGTGATATCGGCTGATACAATTAGGTGACGGAGGAATCCATGGTCAATTGCTGCGAAACAATGGATTTCAGGGTACCAATCCCGGATTAACAGCTTACTCTGCGGTGGGAGATGTGGAAATATCGCAGGATATGCTCAACCCTCTCAGCGATGCAATAACCTCCACTCTCCAGGTTCAAGTAATGCCGTGGGAGACTGGGTTTGCTGGGTTCGTCAACAAGGGATATAACGGCGTACCAGTGATGAACGCGACGTACAGGTGTGAATTTTGGATGAGGGGCGAGTACTCAGATGTGATTACTCTCCAGCTCGTGGGCATATCCAGTGATATTGTGTATGCGGCGCACAATATGACCGTGAATAGCACGTCGAGGTCCTTCACGCGTTATGAAACTACATTTAATTCCACTGCGTCCCCCGATGGCGATAACGAGTTCCGCTTGTTGTTTGACGGGTCAAAAGTACCGGGCATGAAGTTGAACTTTGGGTTGATCCAATTATTCCCACCGACATATCACTCGAGGTAAAGTCGACAATCTTGTCTAGTGCTTGGTTGACCTGTGCAACAGAGCCAATGGCTTGCGGGAGGATCTGACCGCTGTCCTTGAGGACATGAAGCCATCCTTTCTTAGATTCCCAGGGGGAAATAACCTGTATGGATTTCTCTGAATGTCAAAGTGACATGCTTATTTAAATCAGGGAAGGTCTCCAGACTGACACGCGATGGGCGTGGAATCGGACCATTGGACCTGTTGTCGACCGTCCTGGGAGAGAGAGTAAGAGACGGTAATTCTAGGTAGACTCTGCGACTAATGCTCGCCAGGTGACTGGTTCTATCCAAATACTGATGCGCTAGGTGAGTTTCCATATGACTGGATCCCTTGTAGATACTGATCCCCAGGCCTGGATGAATATCTATGGTGGTGTCAGGACATGGGCATGGAACCCGTGCTGGCTGTCTGGGACGGGAAATCGTTCGGCGGCATCTTGACGGGATCGGACCTTCAACCCTATGTGGATGATATTCTGGATGAACTGGAGGTGGGTTATTCATCATTTCAGATGACTATGTCTAACGAAGAACGCAGTATCTACTTGGTCCGCCAAACAGCACGTACGGAGGCATGCGTGCAAGCAATGGTCGAGAGGACCCATGGTCCGTTCGGTACATCGAAATCGGCAACGAGGACGACTTCTCCGGTGGCTGCAATACATATCCGGATCGATTCCAGCAGATCTATAATGCCATTAGTGAAAAGTACCCGCAGCTTACGATCGTCGCGTCGACCATAGACGGACGATGTCTCCCGGAGGCGTTGCCTGGGATTATATATGACTACCATTACTACCGCCGACCGGATGAACTGGCTGCCATGTTCGATGAATGGGACAACCAGCCTCGATCCCAGCCTGTCATGGTGGGTGAGTATGGGTGCCGAAATACGAGTCAGGAAAGGGGAGTGTTCTGGTCTTTCGTCCAGTGCAGCTGCAGCGAGGCCGTCCATATGATCGGACTGGAGAGGAACAGTGACGTGGTCAAGATGGCAGCATATACTCCTCTGCTTCAGCATTTTGGGTTCACCCAGTGGTCGGTACGTTCTTGATAACACCCGATAGTCGTTTGATTCAGGCTGATATCAGCCAGCCGACCCTGTACGGGTTCGATTCGGGCCCAGACTCGATCACGCTGTCGACTTCGTACTACGTGCAGAAGATGTTCTCGACCAACCGTGGCACGACCATTCTACCTGTTAAAACCACTGCTGAGTTTGGGCCACTGTACTGGGTTGCTTCGAGAGCCAATAGCACATACTACGTCAAGTTGGCGAACTATGGCGAGGAAAAGCAAACAGTCCATGTGCAAGTGCCGGACACTCGGTCGGGGAGACTGGAGATGCTCTCAGGGCCCCGGGATGCTAGCAACCGGCCGCACAATATCACTGTCCAGCCTAGTGTGCAGAAGGTGACGAACCAGAGAGGGAGCTACAAGTTTGATATGGCTGCATGGGCTGTGGCGGTTCTCGCTGTGTCATGAGCGACTATATGGATATTGCTTCTTAATGCATATTGCGGTATTATTTTGTCAATAGTAATCAAACTGCATTGCTGCTGCTTCAGTCTGCTAGTTCCTTAGCTCTTACTCTGCGTCAGCACACTCAGCCGTTGACACTGGCAGAAATCGATAACTCCGTGCCAACCGCTGCTGTTGTGCATCGTCGACCGGTCAGATCACTCCAGTCATCATCCATCGAGCCTGATCCCCAGCCAGAAAACGCACTGCCACTCCCAAGTCACATCTATTGCCCTTCGTCTTCAACAGACTGCGATTCCAACGAGCCTCTCTGGCCTCAGTACCCAGCCTTTTGCATACAACACTGGTGTACATACCATGCCGGGACAGACGCAGTTCATCGGATGCCGTCCGTCGCACGATGCGCGGCCATCGCCTTGGTCATATTGACAATAGCTGCCTTGCTCCTCGGATAGAGCATATGTGGTGTAGTTACTACCTGGTAGGCCCGCTACTCTGCCCATACTCACAATACTCCCTCGGTATCCGGCCGATACATCATTGCGACATATCTCCAGCACAACATATTTGACTATTATCGCCATACTCGAGGCATTCAGATGCAGATGGCCCGCCCACAGCTCTATATCCACTGTCTCCGCCGGGCCAGGCGCGCCCACAACACCGACACTGCGTTGCCGTAGTCGGACGCACTCGTCACGTCAGCCTGGACCACGATAGCAGCGCCCTTGCCTTCTTCCTCAATCATCTGGACCGTTCGCTCCGCAAAGGGAGAGTTAGATATCGACACAGACCATGGTACATCATCCTCGGCTAGCAGAACGGCTGCTGCGCGACCGCTGCCGATGCCGTCGCCTGAGGCTCGGGCGCCAGTCCGAAGGTGCGCGACCGACCAGCGACCGCTGAGGTCGGATGACAGGACCAGGGGATTGATCGGTATATTGATTGAGATTTACCTTGGATCTTTATCGATCTAGGATAATAATGGTTCCAGTAAACAGAGCGAACTGGGTTTATTCATATCGTTGAGCCGAGGTTGAGTCCCGCTGTCGCTAGATTTACGAATATTTCCTCTGCACCTCTCCAAATGCGATGCCAATGCGGACGGGGTACGGGGGCTGGATTCTTGTCAAAACGCCTACGGATCGATCTATGATCTTAGCCCATCTGACTTTCTACAATCTCACTTATATTGAATCGGTGACCCAAATAAGCAAAAGTCGGGGACCCAAATAATGAAATATCGGGGACCCAAATAGTCAAAAGGAAGCGACATGAAGCATGGATACAAAACCTCGCGTTACCCCTCTCTTTGACAACTCATTCTTCGATTCACGATGTCTCGACTCTCCGACTATTGTCTTCTTGCCTTCGACGTCTACGGCACACTGGTGAACTGGGAAGGTGGCATTCTAGCCGCCATCCAGCCTATCCTTACCCAACACAATGTCTCCGTCTCCAAGGAGGACATCCTCCAAACATTCCAAGACCTAGAGCATGATCAACAAACCCAAACCCCAGATCTGGTATACTCGGACCTCCTCGCGACCATCTATCCACCTCTCCTACAGAAGCTAGGTCTACCCACTCCCACAGCCGAAGAAAGTAAATCCTTCGGCGAATCAGTAGGAAATTGGCCCGCGTTCCCAGACACAGTGGATGCATTACGACGACTTTCAAAACACTACAAACTGGTGGTTCTATCCAACGTGGACCGCGCGTCGTTCGCAAAGACCAACGCAGGCAGTTTGCAAGACGTGCCGTTCGATCTGGTGCTCACGGCACAGGATATCGGGTCGTATAAGCCGGATCGACGCAATTTCGAGTACATGTTGCGGGCTGTGGAGGAGAAGTTCGGGGTGGAGATCGGACAGGTGCTGCAGACGGCGCAGAGCCAGTTCCATGATCATTATCCTGCGAAGAAGGCGGGGATCAAGTCGGTGTGGATTGTGCGACCGGGGGCGATCATTGGGAGGGTGGAAGAGGAGGTGTACGATTGGAAGTTTGACACGTTGGGGGAGATGGCGGATGCGTTGGAGAGGGAGCTGTAGTATATATGGACAAACTCATCGTGTGACATCGCATTGTTCGGCTACTCTTCTATAAACAGAAGTATCATGCCATAGATATGTATTCTAGAGGGTAATTCTATCCTGAAGCACTCGCAAAAGTAGTTGAATATAACCTAAATGCAGAACTCCGTGCACAAGAGCCAATTATCGGCCAAGACCCTACTTAGAAATAAGTCCCATGCTCTGTTTGGTGCGTAATTGGACCGCACAGCACAAATTATACAGCATGTGTAGCGTTGGCGTGTCAACGCTATGAGCCTGTGCCTCTCGAACCACTTCTCCCAGGATATTCTCATGCTCGATCAAATTGCCCTACAAGGTTAGCATCACCCCTACCAAAGAATCAATAACTCACCTTCCGTATATCCATCAGCATACTGGGTGAAATCCGCTGTTCGACCGGATTACTAGCGATTGTTGTCTCGATAATACCATCCGGCAACTGCTGTCCAAGCGCAGCAGCAACCTGAATGACCTCGCGCATCGCCGGACGGACCAATGTCTCCATACTCCGCTGTTCCAGCTGCAAAGTCCCCGTATCCAGTCCCGTTAAAGCACAGATGGGATTCAAGGTAGCGTTGTAGACAAGCTTTCGCCATCGATCGAGCGCAACGTCCTCGTCAAATCGGCACCTCGTCTTACCACCAGCAGAGTACATCCGGACGAAATTCTTGGCTGCGGACACTGAGTCACCGGTCGGAAGAGAAGGGTTCGAAAACGCCCCGATATTCAGCACGTCCGGCTGCTTGTGCTGGATCACCCCCGGGGCAATCTCATGGGCATCGGTACGACTTACCCCGGAGAGCACAACGTTGTCAGGGAATCGGGCCATAAAGGGACGCTCGATGTTGAGTCCATTCTGGATCAGTACGATGACGGTATGACCGGGAGCCACAGCGGAGGCAATTATATCTGGCAGAGTTGGCGAGGAGTCGGGGACGTTCTTCGTGCAGCAGACGATGTAATCGAATCGGTCAAAAGAATGATGAGGGACTGCATTCAAGACTGCGCGAATTAGCTGGACTGCGTTTCTCTTGTCAAGGACGTGTAATACCCCGGTCGGTCGCCAATTCGACACTTTCCCGTGGTCGCACGAGTCGATCGTGAACCCATTTTCAACCACGGCCTTGTAATTCGATCGCAACACGCAGGATACCTGTGCTTGATGGCCAGTCTCGAGATTCAGGGCGGCAATGGTGCCAATGCCTCCGCTACCGACCAGGAGAACTCGGAATTTGGTCATATTGGTGGACGGAGAGTGAGGGGTAGGACTAACAGTGGGGAGGAACTATTGGGAGCCACTCCACAGCTTCACCTTTGCCTCGGATCGACAATCTTAGCGATCAGGACACACTTAATGCATCGTCACTGGGAATTTCAGGTAATTCCTTCCATATATCCAATCTGATGGAATGGAAGAGACTTTTACTAGGTAAAATGCACCGATTGTCATGACGTAGTCGGCCCGAGACCGTGGACGGACGCCGACTGTCTTCCGATCTTTGCACCTTTCAAATCCTCCGACTTTCTCTCTCCACCATTGTGACACGTACGCGTGAAAAATGCCCGATTCCTCTGCCCAGGCGTCTACGAGTGCACCAAAAGATGCACGACGTTCATTCTCTCTTCCCGCCTGGTTGGATCACTTCAATGCACGCGACCTGAAGGTGTTATTTCGCTGCTGGGCCGCCACATGGGTGGCGTCCCTGCTGATCTTTATTGGACCTTCCCTGCACGCAATCGGCATCAGCGCGTATTTCGCGGGAATAACGCTGTACATCGTGCCTCCAGGAACAATTTTCTTCATCTATCTGCTTGCGTCGGTCTCACTGCTCTTTGGCATGTGTCTTGCCTGGGGATGGGGACTAATCACCATGAAGGCGGCGCTGGCAGCGCGACCGGCTTCCGAGACCCAGGCGCTTCTCCAAGCCTTGCGACAACAAGTCATGACTGAGGCTCAACAGACGGGACAATCTACAGCTTACCTGTCGAAAAAGCTAGTCTACGACGGCTTCATGCTCGACGCTCGTGTCACGGTTGTGTACTACGTCATGATCTGTGTATTCATATATGCCTTGTCGCGACTGCGCGCCGCGAACCCCAAGTTCGCCCTGGCGCAGGTATTTGGCGTTATCGTCTCCGACCTCTTCCTCATGTACGGCCCGATTCTCACCTCATTCAATGGCTTGTTGGCAAGGGTACTCGTCCTGCCGGGCTCCATTGGTATCGGTCTAGGCGTGGCGTGCAACATTATATTCTTCCCCCAGTCAGCCTCACACGCGGTGCTGGTTAAAATGGAGACCCTTGTGCGCATCGGACAGAAGTCGTTGCAGTGTACTCGTGCGCGCCTTTCCAGTGAGCCTGTTGATCTGGCAGATCTCGAGGGCACCAAGTCCAAAATGATTGCGTTGTTCAAGGCGATGACGCCCATGCTGGGCTTCCTTCCGCTCGACGTGTCCTGGGGCCGGTGGAGTCCCGACGATGTCAAGATGTTGCATGAATCCCTGCGACGGGCCATGTTCACAAACGTGTCATTGCTGGACTTTCACATCGTTCATATGAGGACATACCAAAAGCTGGAGAACCTATCATCGCTTGAGACAGATTATAGCATCTCGACGGAGGAGAAACCCCCCGCAGGCCGTTGGTCAGCATCAACTACAGGAGAGCAGCCATCTGATAGACGCGCTAAATACCCCCGAAGCAATGGATATGCGCCGTCAAACGCGAGAAGCACTCCGACAAACGACAGCAGAGGTGTTGCGGGACTGCTCAGAGTCGCTGACGCTTGTTGCCGAGTGCATCCACACCGTCAACTCGCGTTATTGGTTTCGACGGGTTCCACAGAGCCAGATCGACAAACTGGTTACTCGAGGACAGACACTACGCGAAACCCTCCGAACAGCACGGGGCAGATTTATGACGGAGACAACTGAGCGACTGCTCGATAACCATTCCGATCTGTTTGACGAGGAAGGCACGTTGAAATCCGCCGAATCCGTAGGGCCATATGCCCTGCGTGGACTGATGCTGGGTATGGTAGTCGAGGAGCGCGTCCTTGGAGCAGCAGAGAGTTTGGAGAACCTCCTGGACCATATTGTTCGCCTTCTGCAGACTCGCACCAAAGTGCGCGTATGGTTGCCTACGCGCTTAAGGGATGCAATCTCTTGGGTAACCAATACGGATGCGCCAGCCCCGGTGGCAGGTTTATCTGCCACCGAGGGGGAACCGATCCAGACGTAATTGAAAGCCAGAGCAAAGAGGCGTATCGACGCCTGCGCATCAGTCAGGGGTATGGACGGCCAGTGCGACGAAACGCCCTGAGTCGCGGCATTGTTGCTGTGTTTCGCTGGCTGACCAACCCAGGCGGGATGTATGCTCTGCGCATGGTAATCGTGACGATTGCCACGGCCATCCCGTCGGCTCTCCCGCACTCTGCTGGATTCTACTATCGCGAAAAGGGTATCTGGCTCGCCATCACGGCGCAGACCACCATCCTCGTGTACATGGCCGACTTTACCTTGTCTCTGATCGGTCGATGCATTGGCACCGTGCTCGGCGGCGTCCTGGGTATGGTGGCTTGGTATATCGGGTCCGGCCACGGGCCCGGCAATGCATACGGACTGGCTGCTATCACGGCAGCGATGACAGTCGTCTTGATGTGGTGGCGTCTCTATCTTCCGCCGGCATTCATGATGGCGGCCATTATGAGCGGCGTCACATTCATGCTGGTCATCGGATTCAGCTATGACGACACGCATACACCGCAGTACGGACTCCCAGGGCACGGCTACACCGCGTTCTACAAGCGATTGGTGACCGTTCTGCTGGGATTTGTGGCGGCCTTCGTCGTGCAAATCTTTCCCCGCCCTCCATCTGCGACGCGACACACATGCAAGACACTATCGAACACAGTCAACACGCTATCCGACCACTACGCGCTACTCCCTCTCACTGGGGCCGCACCGACGCCAACGGCAGCAGTCCTCTCGGGTCTGTGGCCGAGGAAATCTCGCTCAGCATCGCAGAGACCCTCGATTCTCTCCAAGGCAGTATTAGAATCCTGAAGCTAGAAATGAGCATCGGACCCTTTGATTCGCAAACCGTCGACCAGACCCGCCGTCTTTGTCAGGAGATGAACCAAGGACTGGGTCGACTACTTGATTTATCCAGCACCTTGCCGATAGACTTCCAAACGCGGCTCGCGCGCAACGTGGGAATTCTCGACCACCGTCGAATCGGCGACATCATGGCCGTGCTTAGTGTCATCGCACAGGCGTTGAGACTGGGGAATCCGCTTCCAGAGAGACTGCCCACGCCGTTAGTCAAACGGTGTCATGAGTCGTGGCAGGCGGGACAAAATGAGCAGCGGTTGACAATTGCATTGGTACGAGATGAGAATTATCGACGGTACTGCGTGGCTGTGAGCTCGTACTTGAAGTTTCTGGGGGCGATTGATGATCTGGTGTTGGTTTTGAAGAGAGCGTTGGGTGAGTCTCATATTGTCGGACAGTGGGATGATGCCAGTGTTTGAAGAAATATATATATATATGTAAAGAGTTTATGAGCTGAAGATGTACATGTTAAATACCAATTGTTATAATATATTAAATAGCCATAGCTAATAGATTATTGTTTGCATTGACTTACGGAGGACGGGCATGTAGACCACATTTCAATCGATAGATAATAAACATAAATCAACCAGATATAAAACATATATAAATCTATCAAGATATATTATACGCAGAATGTCCACCACATCATAATACATTTAAAAATGCTCATTATATACCTTTGCATATCCATTCGTCTCCCAGAACGGCGGCTTATCATCCTTCGAATCCAACCATCCGAACGGATCAATCAGCGTCACCAACCACGGTCGATTATCCTTCCACCCCGGACCCTCCAATTCCGTGATCCCGTCCTGCGCTAGATATGTACTCTTATGTTGGGGGAGATATCGTCTGGGATGCCACAGATTCCACATGAGTGTATTAACCAGCATGACAGCCGCCTCAAAAACATAGAAAAACCACTCATAACGCAGAATATAACTGATCTCCTCACCATCCTTCAAGCTCTCAGGCCCAAGCGACGAGAACCCGAAATGTTCCACGATGCGATAAACACAGCGAATCAAGATCAAAAAGGTACTGATATACAGCGTCCAAAGCGGGACTGACACGCGTCTTGTCCAAATTCCATCTCTAACGCAACGGCGTTGGAATATAGCAGCCAGGACGCAGAAAAGCAGTAGAACACCTACCTGGACGATCAACGATGCTTTCATGAGTATTTCCCCTGTCTTTCGACGGGATTCTGGCAGTTTATGATTGGCTAGGTTGGATACGCCCAGGGCGTTCATGACTTCCACAATGGTGGATAGCATACCGAAGGTAGTGAAGACGCGGCCAGGATGCATCGGGGAGTGATAGGGGATATAGTATAGTACGTGTCCGAGGATATGGTAATTGGCTAGTTCGAGGATAGGGCTGTATAGATAGGTAGTAAGTATAAGGTTAAAACATCCATATTTGGGGATACTTACGGAGCCATGTAGATCATGCAAGTGCTAACGATATAGACGGCGAGATTGGCATCGCTGTCCATGTAATTAAACGCGCCGTATTCGCGTGTTGCAAAGCCGATGGTAAACATGATACAGCAGGCGATATGCAACCACATCAACTTGAAGCATTTGTATCGACTAGGATCGTTAGTTCCTTTCCGTAGGATAATGTGCTATAACTTACTGGCATTGCCATAGATGGAAAAGGCCAGAGATGGTAAAAGCCAAAAGTAAAAAAATAATTGGTGCCCATTTGTTCGGAGAGCGTAGATGTAGAGGCTCCCTGGGACTACATTCTCTTGCGCCATATTGAAGTCATGTTGATATGAACTATGTTAGAGGCAGGGATGAACCCAGATATATATAGCAGAGTTGATCAATCTCACACGGCTCAGGAGCCTCTATTCAACTTAACCACTGCATGGACCCAGGTACAGCTACTCTCAGATCAGCCACAAGTATATACTAGGACAAGCTCTGGAACAAGTTGAGGTGAATGCTGTAGGATTACTACCCGATCGGGAAATGCCTATACCAACCACTTGTTAGCCCCAAAAGGGATAAAACGGTGGCTAAGAAACCGAACAGGTATTGACACGCTCTGACATCAGGATTGGCTCATGTTTGCGCCCAAGTTAAGTCTATGATGCCATAATTCCACCATCCATTCTGATAAGAGTCAGCTATGGCTTCCCCACGGGATTCCTATCATGAAGTGATAGCTACACGGAGCGCAGTCAATTACCCAATAAGCCCGTATGCGGTGCTTCAGGACGATCACCTATGGGCTAAATCCCTGACAGGGCTGAGCATGAGTCTTTTGGTCCCAATATTGCGTCGCTTAACAAAAGCCAATCAGCGTCCTACAAATTATTCTGAGAGGTGGACTCGAAATGGAGTGACGCATACCCTCCTATGACCAATCAGCCACATCTGACGTAGTAGATCTGGTCTAGAATATAAGCGTGATGTTTCCATCACAGTTCAGTTCCCTGAACTCATACACTCTAACCAGTCATGGCCCCACATTCGATCGATACCTTTGTATAAGAAATGAGAACTTACTCAGCGCAGCGAATAGCTTAGAGTACAGGCGATCAGACACGTCAGAGTTCAGCCAAGCACCTTCTTATTCGGCATCTAATGAGCCCAACCCAGACGACATTCTACGTGACTACCACGACTCGGCGGCAGAGTCCACGTCAATCGAAGCATATACCATCCGATTTCCACCCTCTGAATGGCTACTTCCAGTGGAAATTTCACCTCGACTTTCATTTAGGCCCGATAGTCGACAATAAGCATTTCGCCGTATCAACCGCCTTTTTCAGCGGTAAACAGACAATGATGCTGCACACGAACCCATCGGATAAGGACCCTGATTTAGCCTCCATCGAAGGCGACGAAAATATCCATGTTTAATCACCATCCCGTATCCTCCGAATACCCCGTTTAAAGAACCAGTGGTCGAGGCGATGCACCACGCTACTCCGTACACACGCACCCGCCTACCTTCTCAGTTGATATCTGGGGACGCGAGAAAGGGGCGACACGGGAACGGTTCGAATGGCTTACCTGTCAAGGGAGCGAAATCAAAGATCTAACGGGACATACTGCGTGCGGGTGGAGACTGGTCTCACTCTCACGGACGGTAGGCGAGCACAGTAGTGAACCTGGCACGGAATATGTCGGCCAGTATGACCAAGGGTTAAAGCTTCAGTTTCTGGGCGGTGCGCTTACAGGGAGTATGGGGCGGGAATGGGGGGGATCATAGCGGTCATGACGGCGCTGCAGCTGTGGTATTATGATATAACGATGCTGCTGCTGCTAGTACTACTGCTGGAGCATCAGCATAGAGGGAATGGGATCCTGGACGTGTTTTACATCCTTTTGTTGTATCTGTTGGCAGCTTATGCGATACCCATGTCTCCTGCAGTATTCGGAACGTGCATTCTCCTCGCTGGTTGGCCGTGAGGAATAAAGTGAATGAAACAGCCATCACCGGTCAGGAGTAACTAATACAGAGTACTATAATTATCGTCATCTTCAGATCGACAACGCAAAGTCTCGCCACCACGTAGCCGCTAGACCCAAATTGGATATATGCAGCGCTCACCCACATGGCGGAATGCAAGAGTTCGTCAGGCCGACAGAGTCCAACACAGACACATGATGCAGTTAATTAGAGAGCTGTCCTACCCGATGGAGGATCGCACCTGTCACATCCGCAATCCTGATCGTCCTCCAACGGGCCAAGAATGTTTCGGCTGGGCTCGTATTCCAGCAGCTAGGGCTGGAGGATCCAACTCTTACCTGATTGGGAAAAAAAGATGACCAAGACTTCTCCTTTTCTCCAATCGACGTGCAGCTCCTGAGATCAGGCTCAATTAGACTATTGGTGGGATCGTGGGTGGGATTCAGCCTCGTGTGAGGTACCTAAATGTTAACCGTTCGCTGCTTGATGGTCGATGTTGAACAGCATCTCGACCATGATATCCACTACTGCTGCCACCGAGCCTGGAGAGAGACGACAATGTTGGGAGTGTCGACGTCGTCGACTCGTGTGCGACTCGTCCCGACCGGCTTGTAATAAGTGTCTTGCAGCCGGCACTGAGTGTCCGGGATATGGTAGTAAGAAACCACTCAAGTGGATCACTCCAGGGACTGTCAAGTCTCGCAATCGGGGTCGACCACCTGGATCCGGAAAAGGCAGTACTTCTGCTGCCAAAACGAAGTCTATGAGCAAGTCTCCGCAGGTGGATAATGCCAGTATCTCTGTTGGCAGCAGTTTAAGTGCAGAGTCTAGCCCGACCACTAATTGTCCCGATGGGGCAATTGACAGACTCATCCAGGAGGCAGAAGCTGCATTACAATCAGAGCAAGACCCTTTGAACCCTGTGACTTTCCTCAAAAGCCTAGGATTGGAAACAAACGACTTTTTCCAGTCTGTACTCTACTGTAGGTACATGTACCTGCCACTACCACAGGTCGTTTCTCATGCATGATAGTCAACGATTGCATTTATCCCGATTTGGCAGTGATGCACGAATTGGTGCCGAATCCATATCTCGCTCCTATACCGATGATGGCGTTTCGTGATACATCCTCGTCTGTACGCCACACCATTTGCTATCTCACTCTCGGACATCGCATCCAGCAGCTAGCATGGCAGCTGGATGAAGCAGCCTTGGTAGAGGAGCGATCTCGACTCTATCATCATCGCGGTGAAGCAATGCGGGCGTTGAGCGAGGACATATCCAATGACCGGTCACAATGTACCGATACCACCATTCTCAGCGTGTTAATGTTTTTATTTGCCGATGTGAGTGAATCCTATTCATGGCTGCATAATACTGAGCTGCAACAGGTGCGGCAGTTTGCAGCGCCGTACTGGCGATACCATCTGACAGGTGCCACGCAGTTGATACTCCTGCGTGGAGGTCTGAAGAAACTCGTGCGCACTTCAGCGATGTTACGACCGTCACTTCTGTACTTCATGATGTAAGGTCTCCACTCTTCTGGTCTTAAACCCAAGCTTATTTGTATAGCATCGGCGTCATGGGAAACACCACCAGTTCCGCATCAGACCAGATCCCAGCGACTTCGAACCTGGATCTAATCGATCTAATGGCAGAAGCCTACGGAGAAGGACTCTTCCCTGTATTATTCTGTCCACCCACACTCCTTCTCGATATCATCCGGATCAACCATCTCCGAATGCAAGGCTCCACCAATCCCACGGATGAGATCCTCCAAACAAGCGCATACACCTTACTCGAGCAGATTCAGTCCTTCTCCCCAGAGCAGTGGACAGTCACATCTGCAGCTCCCCCGCGATGAGTGGCATATCCTCGGCCGGATATACCAATCTGCGATACTCGTCTACTGTATCTCGTCACTGCAGAGCGTATGTCTCCTTCCATCCAGCACCGATCTGAATAACATGAAAGCCGCACATGGGAGTCGACTTCTACTTCAGCTCCGGAAGGCGATGATGTCTCCTGCTATTAAGAAATGTATGACATGGCCGCTAGTCGTGGCTGGTGTGCAGGCTGTCAGTTTGAGTGCCACCGCTCGTACGTTTGTTACGCAACAATTGACGGAGATGAGTCTGGACGTGGGCAGTCCTATTCCACTAACTGCTAGAGATGTACTCAAGAAGTTTTGGGATTCGGGGAATACAGCATGGGATGTATGTTTTGATCAGCCTTATGCGTTTGTATCATAATCTGTCTGTTATGACGTATATCCTGCATTGTTATGCATAATTAGGTAATGCAACACAACTATCCAATCTGCTTTAATGGACACGATATTCAGTTATCTATTAAATCGTGTATGCATGGGATTTTGGTAAAATAGGCCCACATGATAGACAACAGGAATATCCAATATTAGCACATAAGGTATAAACGAAGCTTTATAACTTCCAAATAGGGCAATACTGGTATAGGGGTATATCTCGCCAACACTAGAATTATAAATCATAATATCACTCCACCACATCCGGCACATCACCTCTGATAAACCTCGGTTTGCTCCTGGGTAAACCGCGAAGAGATATCATAATCAGCAAAAAACTCCGCAGCGTTGCCAACCACTAAAACACCCAGAAAAGTGCACACATAGAAGAAATACCGTAGGAACAGCTGCGCCTCATACGACTGCTCCAAATGCCTTTCAAGAGCATAGGAACTCCAGGAGCCAAATGCCATTTGGACGTAGCCCGCAAGTTGGAGCAACGTCAAAGCCAGGGAGGAGACCACGAGACAGGGAATACCCACGAACAGAGTCTACAAGGTTAGTATAAAGAACAACCAAGCTGTATATAATATAAGAACTTACCCCCCTGCGATAGCCCAAATTTCGAACAAGAGCAGAAAGCATCGTCACAGCCGCAATAAGCATACAGACAACACCAAATACGTAATACGCCACCCATAGATTCCGCGAATCTTCGTCAAGATTATAGGAACTAGACATACGTCTGCGTCTATGCCCATATATATCATCAATAACCTTTGTGCTGATGCTGAGGGCAACCACGAGGAGGGCTGCCAGGACACTCAAAGATGCAGAATGCACGATCAAAATCACCTTATTCATCGTTCTATTTCCGTGATGCAGACGCTGGGAAATAGGAAACATGATTGCCAGGAACAAGAGGAAGTCCGCTAGTGCTTGGAGCCACTCGGTTGCGATATTCGCGCGACTGAATTCACCGTTCCTGAAGACCTTGCATTCGGAGAGGCTGAGGAAGATGATATTAAGGGCAGTCACACTAGCAGAGTCAATATCGTGGTGAAAAACCGGAGGAAAAGAGAGGACGTACAGGACTGCGAAAGTAATCGAGACGTAAAGCGAGATCCATAGAATTGGCGCTCGCACTGTTCGCTGCTTGCGTTTGCGCACTACAGTGGAATAGTAGAATACCCCGACGAAGACCAGAAAGAATAACGCGTGAAAAGCAATATAGACGCGAGATATGGTCGTTTCAAAGGCAGATGTAGAGCAATGGCTGGCAGACGAGCTAGAAAAGCCTCCAAATGAGCCACCGCCACCGCGTCGAGGAGCCATTCGGATGGAGTAGTCTGCGATTCACTCAGATGTACAGAGGAGCAGGGGATTTGGCAGAAACGGCAGGAACAGATCCAGGTTGGGAGTTGGCCCCATTATGTACCACTGCGCTGGCATAGACTTGGGGTACCGCATCCCATGTGACGACAAAGTATCACGGACAGCAGGGTCTGGTTGGTCGCATAGAGGATTGGCTCAGGCTCAGAGGCTGAGGCTCTGAGGCTGGAATACGAGATTGTTTTTACATTAGCTTAGGCTAGGGCAAGGCTGGCCCCTAATATAGATGATCTACCCGAGAAAGGGACGATTATTTCCATTTCGGTGGCACTACGGCCAGTATGTTCCTTTTGTGGCTTGTTATATGGTGGTGGCTCGGATAGCATGCGATACAGACAAACGACGTTCATTTGTAGACAATTTGGCCGATAGCGCTTGGCTGAGCTCGAGCACAAGGGTTCAATTTCGTATTGACAATTGATTTAGAAGCAATAGGTGAGTATATACGGTGCTCCAGTGATAGAGAAATATCTGGGATTCGGGATCTGATTACTCCTAGCGCCTTGGCGAGCGCTCAGCGTCACCCCCTGAATGGCCTCCATAGATAGTAATTAGCGAGATAGAGCACGTCGGTGAGCGCGTTGGCCGCGCAGTCAATACAATTAGTGTTATGAATATAAGATTATGAATATAAGATCGGCCCCGAGTGATTATCCGGAGGATGAGCGAAGTCCTCGCTTATATGTCTTCCCATAGACGAATTCCTGTATGTTAAATACCCTCATACAATTCAGTGGCTTAGTTCTCTCGGTTTAATGTCAATTCCCCTGACCTACAGTTGGTTCGCAACAATAAACCCTCAACGTCGGCCAGTGATGTCGGGCGAGTTTCGTGCCCCGATTGCCACTTCAAGTAACTAACACTACTGCTAGTCCCATTCTGTTTTGTGTCATAGTCTAGCCCATTATACTTCCAAAAGACCCAGGTTGGGCCCAAGGTCACCTCCCGGTGGCTTATATATGTCTAAATCGATTGCAACTACGAAATGCACAAATATGCAAGCTTTAAAGACCACCCTGGCTGCCATAAATGTATACTGTTTGACCACTGGCCTACCGACTATCTGGCTAGTCCGATGCATTGATTCTACTCCATATAGCTGCAAGCTTACTCCAGTGTAAGAAAACGAAAACCAATGTGGTTTTCCTAGGATTTACAAGTAGCTGATAACCCGATTTCTGCAATGACTTTCGTGCAGCGTTGCATTAGGGTCTACAGTGGGCACTAGACTATGTGGGTTCCTGTCGTATCTGGAGAGTCGTCTTTCTACCCCCCATTTCATTTCTGGGAGGTAACAGAGTTGCATGGTCTGTACATAAGAGAGAAGGTGAAGAAGAGCATGTGCAACTAACTAAAGTGACGAAATTCTGCTGATATATCAACGGCTAGTTGAGAACTCACCCCATGGCACTAGCTCCTATTTTAGAACCAAGCGACGTTTTAGCTTTTTTTTTGGCCGAAGATCAAGTCTATGCACGACCAGTAACATGCTACGAACTCGAATTTGTGGCTATTCCAGCTGGGAGCTGGTTGAAGTCCACGACTACCAATTTGGACTCAGTGAGTAAGTTAATTTTTTACAGTTATATGTCACCGTATTATCGCATTCTAGAGGACATCTGCATTCTCAAGATAGCCTACATTTTGACGACGACGACAGCAAGTATCTCCGCCAGCTCATTCATAGTCTGCACACATGGCACAACCACGGACTCCCGCTCGCCCACAGTGCCCACCGCGATTGGTTTTGGGACATCCAGCCCATCCAAACTAATGTCCGAATCATCAGGCTCGATCGGAAACAACGGATAAATCTTCCTGGCACACAGACTGTAGTTATGAGGCATCACCACCACGATTCTTTGTGATACAAGTCCTCCATCCAGACCAGCATAGCGGGGGGGAGTGTTTCCGCAGTAAAGGTGGATAGGCTGCTGTGGATGCTTTCACTAGGATCGACGGCCAGGCTGGCAAGGCTTGAGCATCAAGTCGCTGTGCCAAAACAGTTTAGAAAAAGCGGGATGCCAGACTCTATTGTGGGGTGCCTTCTTGCACGAGAGCCGGGGTCGTTATCTCCTGCCCTACGGTTCAGAGAGGACATCTTCGCACCGCTGACCAAGGAGGCCGGGCTTGCAGTTAAGGGGCTCAAAGTTGTTTTACTCGGGCAGCTTGAGAAAATAGAAGTATTTCAGCTTACGCCTGAGTTGCTGCCCAGAGGGTCCATTGCCATCATGGATAATCAGAGATGGCTCCATCGGAGAAACGAGTGCAGGCCATTTTGGAATGTTTACATAGCCCCCGGGTTAGTTTCCTCGTAATCTCAGAGGTTCACAGCAATCCAAGCAATTTAAACAATTCTGGCGATTGAAGTATTCGGGTATTTAAGTAGGGGAATAGAGGGTAAACACGGTACTAGTAGAGCTGTATATAAATGAGGATGGCAATTTACCAGGAATAGTAAAAGAATTGTAAAATGGCCTTCCGAACCGAAATTAAGAAAGTCCTCTTATAATACTGGTAGTACTTTTAAAAGTGGTATTAAATTTTCTAATCTGCATAGGTACTCCTTACTAAGATACCTCTAGTCATATTTAGGGCAGCCCCGGTTGAGTCCACAGGAAATCGGCCTCAGTCTGGCCTGGGCCAACATTCAAGCCGATGGATTTGAACCCCAGAACACTTTAATCCTTACTAAGACCAACCACTTAGAAAAACGGCAAGGTTGGTTCGCTGGGAGCGTTAACTTGGTTTCAAATCCCTCTTTCTGAACCTCGATAAGAGAGACGTATTTACTATCCTGGACGTCCCTATTTTCAGTTGCTTGCAAAGCCCAGGCTGTGAGCTAAGTCGCCCTATTCCAGCTCACGTAAAGGTCGTTCCTTTCAAGAGCGATATCGGGAGACGTCTTCGGGCGGCCGACCTAGTTGCACTTTAACACTCGATAGACAACCACTTTATCTTTCCCAAATCCTGATCCAGGACCAAAGTGGATATCACATAGCAGCTTTCCATCGGCGGAGAATTCAGACCAACCTTTATTGACGCCATACCCCAAAATCACATGGTTGTTCTCCAGTATCTGCATAGATCCCCGTGAGTCCGATCCAAGTTTGTGAGGACTTAGATACTCTGTCTCAACTTCACTGTCATTGCATCTGTATCCAAGTCAATGATTATACACCGAGATTGATAGGGTGCGTCAAATAATACTGCATTGTTAAACAATGTAACTGTGTTGTTTCGGACTAACCTTGCATGGTGTTGCAGTCTGGTATTGGTGGCCACCCTTCCTAAGAGGTCCCGAAACATATTTCGCTTCCCTCCTAATATCCAAATGAATTCCCTGGTATCACCTAAAATATATGCAACGGCATTTGCATTTCTCGTGGATACAAGGTAGTTGCCGTAAACATCTTTTTAAACACTGTTCATGTAATACGATCCCGTACTACTTTGTTTCTGGCTTTATTTTCAGGTATCCCCACCAGGTTAGTGATATTCCAGTGGCCAGACCCACTCCTTTCATACAGGAGTTTATTGGTCTCTATGTCAAATCCTTGAAAACCACAGTCACGTACCCAACCATACTTTGGTCTATTTAGCGGAGTCAAGTTATACGGGATTCTCTTGCTAGCTGTGACCTATGCAGTTTGGTCCGGGGTAATCTGCAGTTTATAAGAATCCACGTGCCAACATTGGTAGCATGTATAGCGTATGCTTCCTTATAATGGGTATCTAGCTATTGCCTTGTCTGGTGAGCATTAGATATCCCTAGAGGGAATAGGTGATATACCTACCATCAGGAATATGCCAAGAACAGGGCTGGATTCTAGAAACGTCGAAACAGTAAAGTAGGGCCTATCTTAATGTATTATAGGAGCAGGGGTGAGGAATTCATCGGCCAATCCTGCGAGCAGTGTGTGTGAACTACTGTCGCAGCTATTGTTATATTGTTAAACATTAAGTATAGGACCTAGGATGTTAGAGGACTTGTAGCGCTGTCGAGGCCATCGTCCCAACGCTGCATGATTATGACTAATATCTGCAAAAGTGAGACAACATTGCAGCACTATGCAGATCAAGCTGTGCCGCAACATAATTTAGTGGTTTCACAGCCTTATAACAGGCCGCCTTTTACCGGAACACGAATAAATGCAGAACGGGACCATAGCGTGCCTTGATCAAGCTCTTTGCACAGTGTGGCGCTGTTTACAGATACACTTAGAAAAGTAGTCATTGTTTAGTAAAAAAGGGTCACGGGGCAGCGCCAGCACTCTGGTAGTAATATATGTTGTGCTGGTCATTATTCTTGATTGTTCTTGACTGTTTTTGATTTCAAGTTAATGTATAATAAGATCGGATACCTAGTAAAGTTGCATTCGGTAAGAATTCGGGCGGCGGGAGGGGGGTTAGCAACCACCTGCTGCGGATAAACCGCACCTATATGCAGAATCCGCTACCTTTGCAGTTTGGTATGGATTCGGTGCGGTAGTGAATCTGGTTTGGTATTTTTAGCCTTATAACTGCTGGCCACCTTTCATTGGAACACAAATCAATGCAGAGTGGGATTTTAGCATACCTTGGCGCCGTTCACGGAAGATTCGCTACTCATCCGCATTAGGAAGATCTACTTAGTATACTGATACTATTTCAACAAAGGTATTCCTATTTATCTCCGACAGTGTATCCTCGAGGTCGAATCAAATATGGTCGTGGGCATGGTCTGAGCTGAAGATAGCGCGGACGGTCACGCCTTCGACGCGGAAAACGTCTCTGTCCGTGATGACCTTCTGGTTTCGATCTAGATCACACTTATAGATCCACGCGGTGCATTCGGGCCGATGTGCGAAGAGATCTGGCACTCCACCTGTGTGGTCACTGTGCCAGTGGATAAGATACACGTGGGACAGGGTTATGTTCAAGTCGGCCAGGACTTGTCGGATGTGGTTGGTCCAGACGGCTTCACCGTCGCTGGTTATAATGGATGTAAGGGTACAAGGCATTCCCATCTGGCCTGTATCTATCAGTAGTCTTGACTTCCAGGTGCCGACAATGTAGGTGGTTGTGCCTTGCAGGTGCATCAGACCGGCGTTTCCGCCGAGGATTCGGAGTGTGTGTCTGATTCCATATAATATGATCAATAAGATATTCCACTCTACTACGTACTAGACAGTCATACACGGATTGACGCCTACCAAGAAAACAAAATTCTTTTGCGGAAGTAAATCACATTGTCCCAGTGACTCCACAGTATGATGGGCCCTAGAAAGGGATATAAATTAGACACGGGCGGCAATTTATTCTTTGATTTGTCCGGAGTAGTGACCTGTATACGCAATATCCCTGGATATTGTTCAAAGGCTCGTTATATATATAGTACGGCACTGTGCTTACCACACCCGCCTTTAATCCACTAGAAATCCAAATAGGCAGCCCGATGATACTGATATCTCATACCATTTAGATAAACTCTATCGTCTAACATGAATGTTAGGCGTAGGTAGGAATAGGGGTGGAAGTTGCTTGACCCTAACATTCCGGGGCAAACTACTGAGACGGAGATTATAAATAAATCCCCTGTAATCCCTAAACAATAAAATGAAGATCATTATTATGCAGCATAAGTCGACGAGAGCGGTCCAATTCACCACTCTCAACCCTTAAATTCAAACCCGAGACTGGACGGAGCATTTGGAAAGCTCTCCCCAACCGAAACATATCCCGCATCGAATGGTCCCACCCGATTCTTGGCTGTCGTCATCTCGGAACCGGTGGCTAAGTCAATCGTCAACTCATTGTGCATAAGTACTTTACAAGATTTCGGGTACACAGATGATCTAGGAATTCATCGCTACTATAGTATTTCCATAGGATAAATCCAACAGTCTTGAGCAACATCACGGCGCTGGAAGGGTGATGAACGGGGAGATTAACAGAGGGTAATGGTGGGTCCGACGCTTCCTGATTATTTCCCACAGGGGAAATAAAAAAGAATAGACATGTTCTTGTTAGAGGTTGCGGATATATTACCCCCTGCTTTTCTTAGACACTATCATCACTATCATGTTGCCATCAACCTAAGATGACAATCCGTTGTAATGTTGGACTCAGCTTCAGCTCGGTCAAAAACAATGAGAATCATCTGTTCAAGTGGAGTTCTAGACCACTTGTGGTACTAGGATACTTTTGTACCACGGTGAACTTCCATAAGCAGGGCATCTAGTCGGATTCAATTGGTCTATCTATTCTTGACACGGTAGCCATCCATGGATCTAAGATTATGGTGTACTAAAAATAAATAGTACGACCTTCAAAATAAGGATAAGACTTGTCTGGGTCTCGCAAGGTAAACTAGAACTAGTAATTAATGTGAGCATCTCGGACCTCTCGGCTCCTTACTAAAGCCTCCACGTCGTAAAAGATAATTATGGATGTAGACCAAACACTTTTATAGGACAGTTTGCTCAAGTTATATAGTACTGTATAGAATGATGCACATGAACTACGGCGAACAGAGCAGCAGGCCAAGTAGAAGTGCGATACAATCAAAAAGAACGAAACATTATAATTCGAACCAAAGATTCCAGTTCATTACCGATTAATCCATCAGTCATTCATTTCCGTAGCCATCGTATAGATCAACCACATTGTCGCTTTTTACAGAGCCAGACCGACACCCGCAACATAGGCGAGCATCCAAGGAGCCCAGTTCTTATCGACAAAGCCGGCAGCGGCGTTGTCGCTCGGACTGGCCGAGGGAGAACTGGTTCCGGACGAGGTGCGCGAGGATCCGTCACTTGTGGTGGACGACGTATCGCTGGTGCGAGAGGCAGACGAGGTGGAGGAACGGGTAGTCGTCGACGTGACGGCGGTTGAGGAGCCTGAGCCCGAGCCTGAGCTGGTAGAGCTGCTGACGCCACTTGAAGAGCCCGAGCCGGTCGGGCTAGCGGTGGAAGACGACTCAGTGCCGGTCTGGGTGCCGCTGGAAGTGCCCGTCCCGGTAGCAGTACCACTGTCAGTGCCAGAAGCGGTGGGAGACTCAGTGGGAGGACCAGGGAGCTCAGTCAGGGTGACGCCGCCGGGAGGAGTGGCCGAGTCTGAGAAGGTGGGCAGGGTGAAGATGGGTCCGCCGTCGCCCTGAGTAGGGGACACGTCGGTGTTGTCACCGGCCTGGGCGTAGGCGACGGAGGCCAAAGTAGCGGCCAGGAGGGCCGTAGACTGGAGAGGAATATACATTATTGGTATTTGTATGTACGTAGAGGGTAGGTACAGCAACACTGAAAATAAAGAAGACAAAACACGCTGAAGGGAGAGCTTACCTTTATAGCATCACCACAGCCACGCTGACACAGCCCCGGCACCAACAGCAACGACATTGGATATTATTAGGTGTTGTTACGTCGACATCCGGTCTGTGTACACCAGCCGTCTCATCCGTCAGCAAACAGTCAGGTAGTCATGAGTCTCATCTGGGGAATCTGGAAAGACCAAGACCAGTAGCGGGGCAAGGCTGATTCTCCGCTGCGTCGCCAAGAGGCACCGTCGTCTTGGATCGGCGGCATCGACTGGCCACAATGCCACGACCGCCGGACCGCCGAGTGGATCGACGCTGCTCAGGACCGTTTCAGTGACGAGGCCTTAGGCTGATGCGTTTTTTTTTTTCTTTTTATTTATAATTTGTCTCTGATTTTGCCTTTGTACATGAGTCGGCAGATCACCTCATTCGTCCCCATTATGTCATTGCATAAAAGCATTGCGCAAGCCTTGCATGACTGACGAGTCTATTTCTTGTCTTTTATGTCCTGTGTGTGCTGACAGCAGCGACGCGGTTAGTGTCATCGTCATCAGACAGGTAGGCAATCCTGGTAATAATCGTGCCATTTCCTACTCCTGCCATTAATTGTCATCTCAACAGTTTCTCGGAAACTGTTTCTATGATGGGGCAAGCGCTAGTTATCGAATCTATAGCAGAATTAAACAGGTAATTAAGTTAGTAACTATAAGATTGGCGGTTTCTCTGCCACTCTTATTGCCTACGAGTTCAAAGCGCCGTCTTATTTACCCAGTATGTCATGGCCCACGCATCTATTCCAGGTTTGTTTTATTAGGTAGGGGTGAATATTCCACATGTTTTGAGCATACATGCCATATGGATATTGATGACCCCAGAGCGTAGACACTGATATTCGACTTCTTGGAGGTGCCTCGGTCTTGTTTCCGCGCCAACTGCCAGGTTACTGGGGTACTATTTATAACCCATCAACTAGCATGGATATTAACCAACAGCATAGAACAGGAGAGACATACAACGGAGATACCTTCGGATTTAAATATTTGTTAGGTCCCTCGATTAGGTAAATGATGGAGCCCCACTGGTGCTGTCGTACGCGGCAGCGGAGAACAGAACGATGAGACAGAAAGGGATCATATATTTCTGTCTGGGACTGCTACGCGCGGTCTGCATATGCGTGGTGACCCGTTAAATACTATTTTGTACTAGCAGTAAAGAATATCCAGTGAACAGAACATTCAACATTTTAGATGAGCTCACACAGTATACGGGGATTCTCTACAAAGTGAAACAATCCCACCGATGTTTCAGACATCTCACCTGCCAAGTCCCTGTCCAGAAAAGTTGATGCAGGTCTAATCGACTTCTATGCAATCATGCTTTCTCATACTCTCCCAATGCCCAGGCTAACACCTCCGGATACCATCGCCGTCCCACATCCTGATGACTGGTGATTCGATGAATGAATGTCCCCTCTCCGATACGCCCCTTGTACATCTGATTGAACGTGGCTTCCGCATCGGACCGAATCTTCTCATCGCGCACCAAGTCCCTGATATGCTCCGGAATCTTCAAAGAGATATTCTCCGCGGATAGATCCAGACTCATTCCCCGAAACACCGGGATGGAGAACCGCGGACCGAGGGAGACACCCTGCGCGTCGACGAAGTTTTTAGGTGCCAGACTCACGCGGTGCGTGGTGGCCGTACAGACTCCGCCTGTCAGCGCCTCCAGAGCGCGACCGATATTCACGACCAGGGAGTTTTCGATCGGTGATGCGGGGATCCATTCTCCGGCTTTATTTTGCACTTCCAGTCCCGGGTGAGGTGTGGCTTGGAGCAGGAATGTGAGAAACTCTGAGTCTTTATGGGCGCCTACACCTTGTGTTTCTTCCTCTGTGGATGCCGGTGGTGGCGGGGGATATTTGACCAGCTTCAGTTTATGTTGAGAGGGGAGCTCGAAATACGGTTTCAGAGCATCTGGGGGAAGATCTAGTGCTTCCGCCACAAGGGTCTGGAATTCATCTGCCAATGGGCCTACTTCAGCTAGGTATGACTCAAGAGCATGGCGGAAGCCAGGGATCGCAGTTTCGTCCGGCCACTGGTTGGTCAGCGCGTTTCATACAAATTGACGATGTGAATGCCTACCTGATTAGGACCTCGAATATTGCGATACAGTGGCTCGTCCGGACGAGGTGGAGGCAATTCAGTTGCAAACTAGCATGTATTAGTGCTACAGAGCACCGCAGCCTTGGATGAAGAGTGATAGATCATACATCAAATTGCTCTCGATAATCCGACTTACGAGCTGTGAACTCTGCTCCCAGCCGAGAATACCCCAGGAAGTGTTTACTGTTGACCATTTCAATTTCCAATTTCTTCTCCAGCGGTAGATCAAAAAGGGTGATTGCCTTGGCCACCAGGTTGTCCCTCACCTCCGTGGCCACCGGCGGGTTGGTGAGATAGAAGAACCCCACATTGACGAGAGCATTGCGCAGCTCTCTCAGGAAGGTGGCCTTGGTATCCGATGAGGTTGCGAGAGAATAGTCCAAGACAGGGATGGCAGTGAAGGTGTCCGACAAAGTCATGGTGGGATGATGATGTGACGGAGAATGGGCGGAGATGTCATTCTTAGTGGGGTGGTTTTAGTGTTCGCGCCATCGCAGGATCGTTTGTAGCACGCCATCGAAGAGGCTTTTGTGACGCAATTCCATGCTTGTGAAGTGTGCCTTCATATGCCTATCATGTCGAGCCTGTGTATGCTTAGCCTCCAATATAGCTTTATAAGCCTATTTTAAGTGCTTGACATCTATCTTGAGTCATGGTTCATGCGTAATCGAGAGCTTCATACCCCCGTTGTGACATCTTCAGCATACAAAGATCGGCTAGTGCTCGCAGTCCTCTCAGCCTTGTTCGACACATATCTTACTGCTCGTGACACTGTGTGATAACTCGAAGAGTATATCCGCCATTTGGCCTATAAGTTCTCCAGGATCGCATGGTAAATATCAGGATCCAAGGCGTCCTCCTTTCCGGTCCCGAAGTACAGTACATCAGACGTTCTTTTCCCCTCAATCCAAGTCATAACAATAAATGGCCCTACGCCGGTTGTATTCTCTTCCAACATCCTGTAGCCTATGGTGCGAGGGACAGGGATGCGGGTATTGTTCGCAATGTACTTTATCAGCACTGCCTCGTTGCGTACTTTTTCATTAAGAAACATGGATTTTCCAGACAGGAGAAACAAATCAGCCGATCTTCATCGTCCCAATGAAGATGAAATCTGAAGTTAAAGGATCCTGAATATATGGAAACGGGCTGCAACCATCACGGTTGGGGTCTCGACTTGCCATCTCGCACATCCCTTTAATCAGGTCGAACACAATCTGATGCAGTCTTTTGTCAACTTCTCATAAGCAGCCATTGCGGTGTCATCAAATCCATAAGAGCTCTCAGACAGGGATGGTAATGCCAGGCTGAATGTCAATAAAACCGGGGACTTCCATTCTAGGAAGTCACTTTATCGGTGCTTGTACTTCATTTTCGTGAAAGTGTAAATGAGCTCTTCTAGATAAATCAATAAATGTACTATACTCCTCCGCCAGGTATATAGAAATATTCTAGAATAGCTGACAGACTGTGGTTTAGAAGTGTTGCTCCGGCAAGACAATACTAGTGCTACAACGAAATAGAGTAGTAGCAAACTGAACGAAATAAAAAAAGCCTCTTACCAGTGCGGGCTATGCTCAATTTTACACTTCATTCTGGCATTCGAGACGTATTGACTACAGGGTAGTAGACTAATATACCACAGGCTACAAGATCACATCCACCATCGCATGATCTGGCAAGACAACGTTAGACCCTCGAAGTCAACTTCACCTTCAAAGCCGGTTTATCCCAAAGAATAAAGCAGTCTTGATCTGTCCACACAAAATTGGGATCATGCAGTTCCATGTCAAAGTTAAACACGACCCGCGCCAAAATAGAACGCATCTCAACGTATGCCAGACTAACGAAGAATTAGTTAAGCTTTCCCAAAGTCGGTAAATATCATACTTGCGCCCAATACAGTTCCGAGGCCCGAAGCTAAATGGTTGAAGTACAGTCTTACTGTCGTTTTCGAACCGAGGGTCACCCAAAAAACGCTCTGGAATGAAGCTATCAGGCTCGGTGAAATTTGACAATGAATGGTATGCCGCGAGTTGATATACAGAAGTAATTGTCTTAAAACATATGTTAGCAAGGATCAAAGATCTAGAATTTAGGTACTTACGCCCCCAGGAACCCATTCCCCCGCGATAGTATCCCCCTGCGGATCTACAATTCGGGGCAACCCAACAGCGACAGGAGGATACATTCTCAGTCCTTCATTAATCACGGCATGTATATACGTCAGTTGATTGCAAGCCTGCAGAGTTATCTCGTCATCGGATTTGAACGCGGTTCGCACTTCCTCTTTCAACTTGGCGTATGCATTAGGGGTCTTTAGCAAGTAATAAGTAACACCCGAAAGCAGTGTCGCGGTTGTTTCGGATCCCGCAATAATTAGAGTGCTTGCGTTTGTCATTAATTCTCCAAAACTCATGCCCTTCTCAGTGTCTTGATGTTTCAGGATGTGGCTGAAGAAATCGGGCCTCTCATTGGAGCTTTTTAACCGGCCCAGAACCTTTTGTTTGGTTAATTCGAGATGCTGGTATCTCTGCCGAAGGATAGATTTGGGGATGAACAGTGTAATAAGCGGCTTGAGTATTGGAATCCGCCGCATGAGGTTAGAATAGGCACCGAATTTGATGTTCCCCAAGATAAACTTCACCCATGGATGGTATCTGGACTCTTCGAGACAACCAAATGGCTCCCCAAATGCTAGGTCCCCGATAACGTCGAACGTGGTGTAGTTGTACCACGACACCATGTCGACGGGCTTGTTCTCATCATTGGCATTCTCATGCAGACGCTGAATCAAAAGATCGATGTAGCCTCTGACGATTGGCTCTTGGCCTCGGAGCGAGCTCTCGGAGAATGCATGCGATAGTAGACGCCTGAATCGAGAATGATCCGCATCGTTGGATTGGATGATGCTGGGGACATTATTTGCGGTGGGTGGGAATACCCGGACATCCTTTGGCTTTTGGCCATGGCCGGGACGAGTTCCATATATGGGTTTCCAGGCGTCGCCATCGACGAATGACAGTTCGTCCGGGGCAATGCGAATCACTTTGCCGTATTTTACGTGTAGATCCCTGATGGTTTGGGGTATACGACCCTTTAAGATGGTTCGTATGTATGGGATCCGTGTCGCTGCGAAGGACTTGGGACCGGGGAATCGCGCCAGAGGGTGGAAGTAGACATTGTAGATAATTATACCGATGAGGTATAAAATTCCCTAGCCACGATATGTTATTGGTAAATAGACTCCGTTGCTATCATCACGCAGGCTCACTTACCAGTCCAACGGCCAGTCCGGCCACCAACACCGCAGGATAAGATGTTTCGGCCACCGCAATAGCCAAGGGTCTACCCATGTTAAGTCTACTCGTATTAGAACCGGTCGTGTCATGCGAAGGTAATAGGAAATTGCCTGCAGAAGTGACGGCCCCGGAGAGTATTTATCCCTTGTTACGCACCGGTAGCCCCTCTGTTGATCATTTACCTTGACCAGTCAGATAAAATGCCCCATGCAACTTGTACAACGGCCTAATACCATGTCAGTGAACATAAAGTAAGAGAGACAGATCCGCAACTCTACGGGGAAAATAACCTGATATTCACCATACCCCGCACGTCATATGCTACTCTCCCCACTGACGTACATATTGTGTTGTAGAATCCATATGATCCACGTACGAGGCTGTTACGGCTGGGGTGACTGTTGGCTGCATGTCCATGCCGACATTCCCGAACATATGTTAGGGCTGTGAAGGAAGATCAAGCATAATGACCATGTGCATATCCTCGCCCTTCTTCAGGATGCAGGTACCATATTAGTTGGTGGTTTGGTAAGGCGCTTTCATCAACTACGTTTAAATATTGTACACAGCCGTCATATTGAAAAGTGTGGAGACCACGGCTGTGGCACGTAGTTTAGAGATGAAGATATTTAGAAATAAAAAATCTCCGGCTGAAGAATAGACTTTGAAAAACTCTCACGAATATGGCGTATTAACTAGAGCTCCTTTAACTCGCTGATTAAGCTTCGACGGCTTGCCTGTCAAAAGGAAGCCCAAGAATGTCTCCATTTTTGTTTGCCTGTCCCTAAAAATACGCATTACTGTAGATTTAGGCATACCCGGTCTGCTCACTGATTTTGCCAGCTGATAAACACGCTGGCGAAGGTGGAATAACAATCTAACTACCTCAATAGAGTGTTCTGAACGAGAAGATTTTTTTGTCTAGAAATTTTGGCTATAGCACTATTTTGAGGTCTAATATGGATCATTGTATTGAATGCCTAATTTGCTTGTGTGATCAGGTGACCTAGGTGGCTCGTGACCACCTCAGTGGCAATCTTGCAGAGTTGGCTGATTAACATATATTTAGGCTGGCGACTTCTTACTTGCTTCAAGGCTTCGAGTATATTGAGCGGTAGCAGAAGTCGATCTAGGTTATAGAGGGCAGAGGTAGAAGGCCACCTTAAAGCCCATCAAACAAAGCGATGATGGGAAGAGTCTCCAAATTTTTTATAGCTCCCCGTGCAGGCTGATGCAATAACTACCATACCACTCCTTTCATAGCTGTCTCTTCTAAAGCACATCCCCTTGGGCTCAAGAATTTCGACGACTGCAAACAGTCTAAAATTGTGGAATGACGACACACCGAGCAGGTTCTCTCCTGGAACAGTATAATCCCACTACCCACAATCCAACGACATATCCATTGCCATCGTTTTACCTGCTGGAGATGCAACGGATGCTAGAACTTGTAGCACCTATTGGCTTGACCTCCGCAGAGGTCAAGGACGACGATGGTCTGATGACAATAAAGGAGGTACCCCTTTTGCGAATATTGGAGTCGGAGAACCATGCAACTCCAAAGGAAAGCGGGCCAGTTTCCCTATTTGGGGGGAAAACCCTGGCACGAAACAGGGTGCATGGGAATAACCCTCTGGATATGCTGGGTTTAAATAGCACTCGTCGGATGCACCATACACGGGAGTATCACCTTTTTTTTTTTTTTTTCTCGGACGTTTCTAGTGCTACGTTAAATATCATAAGGTCAAAAAAATGGAGAATGAGTTCATTGCTATGATGTCAATCATCCTTCAATACTCCGTAGGTGGACCCATGGATATCAAGGAGGATGCTCGTGCCTAAGACTCTACTAATAAACTTGGGTTGAACTACGAGTACATACAAGTCCACAGGTACCTATTGAATGCAATTCTCTATTATATCCAAGGTAACTATATAAGCTTATGCAAAACTATCTACAAAAAAGAAGGGGAAAAAAGGACAAAGAAAATCAAGGTATATATTCAAGGCCAGAAAAGAAAGTAAATGACCAGCCACCAACCAATCCAATCATCCAGTGACTATCTATATGGTCATCAAGAACGCGACCGAGACAGCAATCAGCGCAGAATACCGATTCAGATGCCCGCGGGTAGCAGAAGACGCAGCCTCCTCCATCTGCAACTCCGGTTCGTAATTCTTCGGCTCCCGACTATCGACGGTGCCGTTCCAGCAGTAGTTTTTGAAACAAGTCTCGCAGGCCTTAGGCAGGGTGGTACCGGTTCGTTCTGCGGAGCGAGAGATGATCGCGCAGCCGACACACGATGGCCAGTCAGCGTCTAGGGAGGAATTACCGCGAGTGACGACGTTATAGCCATTCAGGATGATATCGTCGCGCTCGGAGTCGGAGTACTCCATCTTATAGGTGGAGGCGTTAGAGTGGTATGTGTGGGGCGAGTTGGGCAGATACACGATCAGGGGCGACGGGCCGGTGAGGTTCTTAGTATCGCAGCCGAAGAAAGTCGGACGTTTGTTCAAACCCAGATTAATGAATGTGTTCTTGTCCGGAACAGCGGGGAAGACGGTTCCGTTACCGATACCGGTGGAGTTGAGACTACGTTCGTAGGTGTGGACGAGTGAGGCACCGTTGGGCCAGCTGTTGGTGTCTGCGGAGGAATCGACAGCGAAAACGACGTCGACATGGCGACTGGGCTGGATCACTGGATGCAGAGGGATGTTCTGACCGTCTTCGCCGCCGTCGACAACATCGAGATCGCGCTGCTGGGCGTAGATGTGGGTGGCGTTGCGGTAGCGGTAGAACGGGTTGGGGGAGTAGACGGCGATATCCTCGTCGTTTTTGTCCATGCTCTTGAGTAGTTTGTACATGGTGTCCTTGACGAAGTCGGGGGCATCGGTCTTGTTGAGACGCAGGAGACCCTGGTTGAACAGTGACGAGGAGGTGCCCATGACGAAGCCGGCGTTGTCGAAGCCTCGCACGCACTTCTCGTCGTCAGCTAACTTGCCGTCCTCGAATCGAGAGCCGAGGAATTCCAGTGGCGCAAAGCCGTAGACGGAGGGATCCCAGGTGCCGAATTCCCAGGGGTTGAACTCGTAGACGGTGGAGTTGGTGCCGATGACCTTTTCGCCAGGGTTACGTCCGTCGGCAACGACCAATGGCAGGGGGGGGCATCTGTCCGCGCTTGAAGGTGTCGGTCAGGGCGATGGAGGACCAGGTGTAGTCGATGCCACCGTCGTCGGTGGTGGAGTTGATGAACTGGTGGGAGAGGGCACGACCCCAGTAGTCAGTGATGGAGGTGTTGTAGCCGGCTTCTTCCTTAGCGTCCACCGCTTTGATGAGATGTTTCCAGTAGCTGGCGGTGCTGAGGATCTGCACGCCCTTGTAGTTGGGACCCTCGAAAATGCTCTTATCCAAATTCCAGACCTTCTCGTCCGCCTGCAGGGCGCCGACGGTGGTGAAGTTGTTAACCACGATGGAACCCAGTAGCCAACTGCCACCGCTGAGGCCGGAGACGTAGGTAGCCGACTGCAGCAGGCCGCCCAGCTGGCCCTTGGCGGTGGAATTGTCGGTGCGACTGTCGAAGGCCTTGAGGGCACCGGCGCCGTTGGTCATGGCACGGTAACCACCGCCAGAGACGGCGATGGCGACATTAGGGATATTGGAGATGTTGCTGGAATGCGTATCGATGTACTTGGCGGCGTCAAAGGAGGCGATGTTTAGTCGGCCCAGGAGATCCTTCAGGGGTTGAAGGGTCTCCTTGCGACGGATCTTGAGCCAGTCGGTCTCGTTGGCAGACAATTCTCCGGCGGATCGGATGCTGGGACGAGTGGCAGGACAGGAGACATTGGCCGGGGCGTAACCGTCAGGGGCATTGGGAAGGGCACGCGGATCGAGAGGGAGAGAGGCGGCGCTGGACAGACCAGCTGCCGCAAGGGACAGAAGAGGGATCTTCATTGGGCGGTCCTGGGTATGAGATCTATGAAACTTCACAGTCAGAGAAGAACGGACGGAGCATTATATTATTTATTTTATCCCAAGGAACCACTCGATCCACCGTTGGTACAGCCTCGTCAATAGCGTCCAGTTAGCGTGGACCAACCGGAACGACAAGGAACGAAGATACGGTGCCCGGTGGAGATAAATCCCCCAATCGTGACCCCAATCGGAGTCCGGCAGTGGCATAGGGCTGTAGGCAACATGATTATTGAAGGTTAGCATGGGATTGCTCGTATTCGCTGTGTCTGTACAGGACAATCGTGGCTGACTGAGTGATCCAGGGACAACAAGGCATATGGGGCGCCTGAGGGGTGCTTTGTAGGCAGCAATTTCTCCTCTTCTATGGCGCAGTGTGGCTGGATAAGAGATGAGACATCTCCGAAGCGATTGTCAGTTCAGAAAGACTGAAATTCGGCCCCAGGCCCCCAATTTTGTCATTTCCCAGTCCTTTTTCTGATCTTTTTGGGCAGCCCTTTTTTTTTTTTTTTTTTGCCCCACGAACCGGTAACGGAAGATGACTCATCATTCGCATAATTTCATAACTTCCTTTAAGAGAATTGTGCCTGCACCGTATAGTCTGTACTGGATATTACTGCTACTGCCATTAAATAGTATACAACACTGGATGGGATGTAGAATCAATATAATTAATATCCTATAATCGATCAACTACCCAGGGTCATCAAACCCTGATCAATCCATGGATACATATCTTGTAGCCTAGCCACACCAGGGAGGATGGTCAGATCGTGGGCCAATCCCCATTCAATTGGGCAAGTCCCGCGGAGTCCGCTTGGCAATGCCAATTTTCACTTTATTCTTCCTTTTCGGGTGGACCATGGATGTGAAAATCCTGTGGCGGTGCATATAACTGCCTCCCTGACTGACAGTACTCACTCTACTCTTTGCTCATCACTGCATGGCAAGAAATACTCACATAGCAGTGAAAGAATGCTAAGAGTTTATGAATGTAAACAACGTTTCCAGAAACCAGGATAAAAAGAGTAGATTATATCGCAAATCTAGGACTACCTATGCCCCCCTCCCTTATTTCCCTTACCCGATCCCCGCAATCTGCGATCCACCAATAAATCATGGAAATGCTTATCTGCCTAGTTGCAAAACTCTTCGGCAGAAACAAAGCCGAATCCCAAGCCAGCGAGGATGAACCCCACGCAAGAGGTGGCAATCACAAGGACTATCTGGACAAAGGGTAACTAGCCCTCCCATGATTCAACGGAGCTATTAACAAGCGCAGCTCTATATGCCCAGGAGAGAAAGTTCGGAAGGAAAAAATCGATCCGAAATAGACGCGCGATGTCAATGAGAAGATCACAGATGCAGTGTGCGAAAAATTCGAGAGTCTCATTGGGTATTTAGATCGGTCCCTGACTTTGCAAGTAGCTGACTGGTTGATGTAGAAAGAATGTGTCGGAGAAATGGTCGAATTAGAGAATTGGGAATAGGATAATCGGGAAATCGTCGATAGTGTAATATTCAATAGCATGGATCATCACCTATATCTGTCTTTGAAACGACTTCAACAATCCCTGGAGACTTGATCCTCTTTGCGGTTCCAGGAACCGTGTATTCATCCGACATAGTTCCGCCATCGTGCGTACATTCTCCGGTAACTCGGTGCCTGACTCATCATACGAAGCGAGAAGTCGATCGAAGTAGCCCTGCGCCTGCGGATACTGCTGTCTAGTCATATACATCATGGCCAACATGGAGAGCGTGCCCTGTACATCGGGATGGCCTCGTCCCAGCCGATGTTCTGCCCAGGTCAGATACCGTTGGAGCCAAGGCACTGCTATTTCGGCATTAGATCCAGAAGCGCCATACGAAAACCTGGCCATGCCGCCCTGCATTGCATACATCATGCCCATGTGCGCCACGATGTTCATAGTCTCCGGGTGGTCCGCACCCAGATACTCCTCTGCGCTGGCGAGCGCGCGTCGCAGCGTCTCCGAGGGGCTCGGTGATGCTGGCGCTGGCCTGCATCTGACTGGCGCCGAGGATGCGTAGCCCCAGATGGTGAGTGGGTGTCGGGGACCGAGAAGATTGTGCAATTCGCGGGAGACCTTGGAGATTTCATCAACGGCTGTCTGTGTCTGCGGGTTAAATCTTGCGGCGGCTCTCTCCACCTCGGTCTGGGTATGGTTCGAGACGACGAGCTCAGCGGTACAGAGCACTGCAGCCAGTGCCTGGATGTGGTTCTCACCCAGGAGATGCTGCAGCCGTGCGGCACGTTTCTCAGCCGCAGCGACGCCTTCCTCGCGACGACCGAGACAGCCATACGCCTCGGCGAGTCTTCGGCGGGTTTCCAGCGTATCGAGATCGTCTTCGCCGATGGTCATCTGCTGCCTGGCCAGGACGTTGGCGCATACCGACTCGCCTTCCTGGTATTTGCCCTTGTGGCAGAGAATTTCACCCATGAGACTCTCGGCTTTCATGGCGAGAGGATGTCGTCGGTCGAATACGCGCTGGGTGTTATTCGAGACCCATTCACACCACTCTGTCGCCTTGTTAAGGTACTCCGACCGCAGGTCGATCTCCGCGAGGTTATATCCGACCAGTAACGTGCTGTGGTGATCTGGACCTAGAGTCCGTAGATGTTCCTGGAAGATGGCATATTCTATATCTCGAGCTTTATCCCACTGCCAATTATTCTTTTGCTCTGCGGCCTGCATGGAGCGGGGATCGTTATCGACAGCGACAAAAGCGTTCCGATGACTCGTTGGGCAGTCGGTGCTGGCGATCGACTGAGAGGGTAGGATGCGCTGCTGTTGAGATGCATCCGGGGAGGCACAGGGGGAGGTAGACGCGACGTCGTCGACGGTTGCGGGATGTATCCCTGCTCGGCAACGAGGACTGAATCTGCGATCTGTTTGATGTTTCCTTTGATGAGCTTGTACATCGGTCCGCGGGAGCCAACCTTGCACATCTGCGAGTGATCTGCGTCGAGTTTGAGGCGGGTCTCACGCTGACCGGGGAGGCCCAGGACGGCAGATTCTTCGTCGACGACTAGCTGTGTTGATTGAGTTTGAGTGATCCACAGCATTGGGAGAGGATATACGAACGTGACTGATGGACGCTGGCCCCGAACCACCAAGCAACACCTCCTTTCCCTCGATGAAGCTGACAACTTTATAATCCTCCAGCTGGTGCGAGAAACGCACGCTCATCTGTCGGGTAAACAGCGAATTATGTTCCAAACAATCTAACAGATCGTTGCTGGCATGGCCTTTGGATACGAACCGGGCAACTTTGGCTGCGATCTTGCCCAGTTCGACGCCTTTGGTGCCGTGATGCGGACAGCCGAAGAAGACGAGGCCGGAGGTTCCAGTTCGGATGGCGGTATACTTAGGGTCTTCTTGGGCGTTGAGCAGGGCCTAAGTTGACATTAGATGATATACATTGGAATTGCATGACACAAACCTGTTTAATCACCAATCCGCCTAGACTATGGCCGATGAAGATGATCTTGGGGAGTCGGACGTTCTAACGTTCTGTTAGCATGCACAACATACCGAAGAGAACAGAGATGATAGATACCAACTGCGGACTTCGCTCCATATCCAACAAGTTCAATAGAGTATTAGCATGATCCTTGACACCCGCAGTCGACATAGTCTGCGGGTTCGTAATGTTGGAATTATATCCATAGATGAAGATGCGCGCCTGGGGAATGTCATGGGGAAGGAGATCTCTGGGCCAGAAGGTGCCATTTTGATGGGTCCAGGTCTCGAACGGATGGTCATTTCTCCCACGTGGGTTGAGGCCGTGGACGAACACAAAGCTGAGATGTTAAAAAAAGAATAGTAAACAGTGGACGAAGAACGCCTTACTCGATCTTGGGTTGCTCAGCAGGTGTAAAGACTTCCTCTAGGAAGGGGTACTCATGTTCTCCAATATTCTTCTCACTTAGCAGTTTACAATCAAGTACAGAACAGGATACTTACCATGATGGATGCGCGCGACATCACGACGATGGATACAAAACAGCATCCAGTGTTGTCAGAAGATAAGAAAGTCAGAGACCTCGTCAACTGCAAGACTGGAGTGTAAATCTAGATCGTGTGACGGGCAGTCTGAGCAGTGAGATACCCACCTACTTACTTCCAATCGCTTCTCTATTCCCCCGGGGGGCCATTTAGAGCAAGAATGACAGCCAAGATGATGCGAGGCTGCGATACGAGGTTAGTGGCTGGAGGATACCCTCCGGATTGGCTGTGTAGCCGACTGTACTGGAGTTGGTGCAGCTTTCATGCGTGTGCCGGACTAGATTGGGCGTAATCATCGAGAAAATGGAGTGATTGGGGAGGCTGTTAGATCTGCTGCTGGATTCTATATCCCTGCTTCCAATTGCGGAGGTCGGATTGTCGAAAGCCCGGAGAAGCTCTGATGACATCCTGAATCATCTCCAGCTCTAACATCAACGTTAACTCCCTGCCCATTGCCGTCCATTCAGTTTCACAAAATCCATCAGCCGCACAACTCGACCAGGCCATTGGGTTACTCAAATCTGAAGGGTCGCTTTGAAGTGGCGCTAATTTTTCTGTCAGGGTGACTCCTGGCCGTCAAAGCGATAAAACCTGACTGTTTTACCAATAGCAACAGCCCCATACAGCTTTCGGGGTTGCTTCAAGATCGTCTAGAAAGTGGCCGGTGACTGTATTTTTGCAATTGGCAGGGGTGTCAAGGGATGTTGGCTTGCATTTGACCCGAAGGATACAGCTTTCGGCGAAATCAGTCGATGCAGTTGGGTTTGGGTTCAGTGTCAATATTTGGAGAACGGTAATATAGGGTACGTTGTTCTTCGTAAGCATTGGAGCTTTGACTGCACAATGGTAATCTTCAAGAACGGGGAACGAGGCTCCAACATTTGCTTGCCAGAGCCGTTGTACTGTTTGTGACTCTCTGGTTTGACTGCATCCAATGCCCTTTGAATGGCCATGATTTGCGGAATTGGAGGTGGCTGGGACAGAGTCACTTGATCCAAGGAAGTAATAAAACTAAAAGAGGAGAGAATGAACTTGAAAGAGGTATGCTATTCTGGTATGTAGGGGTAGGGATTTATGCCCAGAGGGATACATGCAGGTATAAATAGAGAACACAGAGAGAGTTCCGATATAGTCCCCAACCCCCAGGGAGCCTAGAAAGGCATCATTCAATTGGCACTGTCAGTAAACTAAAGGGGATGAGATATGTAGGGTTTGTATAAGCATGAAGACTGAGCTGCAGATAGACTTGATTCCTCTGCAAGGGGGGTTGCAGCAGCAGAATACTCGAGCCAGTAAATCACTGCAGCCCTCGAAAAGTTACATATTCTGACGCATAGATAAATTCTGTTACAAGTCACTAGCTATAGCGGAGACATGCCACGGGCTGCTTTGCTTATCATTCTGGTTATAATAAACGCTGACCTAGGATTCCTACTGAGTTTGGTTGAGCCGAAAATTATTGCTGTCAATGGAAAGAACTGATTATCAGAGTAATTTCAAGAGCATGCTAGGATCAGCAAGAAAAAATCTTTTATTTCGCACCAACTAGAATCAGCACTACTGTGCTAGACTTGCTGGTGCTTATTATAGTCGACATAATGGATTTGGATTGCTGGTACGGGCGTCTGGCTTATAATAATGCAAGCAATTAAAAATTTAAACGAACTGTTAAATTCCGTTGCTAAAATAGATACTAAACTTACTGCTTAAAATTTAATATGCTTTAACGTCCTTGTAGATGCTGACATATGCTAGGCGACTTCTACTAAATTGGCACCACCTCGTTTTCTGGGATTTATACATATCTATAATATCTAGCACGTCCGTGTAATATTATTTACCTGATCAGTTTGTGAAATTTATTGGCCATTAAGTGCCTGCAGAGTATATTATTTAAGAGTAGACAACAAAATTTCGACGTTATATATACACAGTATGCGGGGAGTAAAAATGAAGTCGTACGTTGTTCGCCTACCCATTCTATGAGTTGTGGAAATGTCTACAAAGAATGGAAATGACCAACCCAGGCGAGGAGGACTTTTACGCATGCTAAAATAGATCGGCGTAAGTATGTCCTCTAAACATACCTATTATAATAGGTTCCTAGGGTTGTACTCACGAATATTTACAGTGGATAAATGCAGAATCCCGGAAGGAGGGTCCACCCAGATACTGGGGCATATTCTAAGGAATATATACTGCTTCTTTTACTCTATATATAGCAAATGGAAACCACATTACTATTATTGGTTTTAATATTATATGTAAGAAATACTCCACTAGTTTAGAATACCGGGCTAGCTCTGTCCACTGCTGTTCTAGAGTATTTGCACTTCTATCTATCCGGCCAGCTAAATCGAGATATGAAAACTCCGGATTCAGTATATATCTATATGCCGATCAATCCGTGATAGCTTCATCCTCTGCCTTGGATTTAAGGTTCTGCAGACAAGGAGCGTGAAACAAACTACCCTGCCATGCTCCACGTGCAGTCCGGCTGGCAACCACCAGCCACAGCATTACCACAGCAGCAGCTAGAACCTTCAAGCAGTCAGACCTATATTATTGCATAGACCAATAGACAGGAGATACATACCGTCCCACAGATCTTAAAAACATCAAATCCATCTCTACGCCCAATAGCATGGTATTGGCTGCATACACACCAGCGGAAAAGTAAATCCCCACCAGCCCATATTGAAAGGAAACGGCGAGCTATAATAAATAGTAGCCAGCGCAAACACCAGCCAAATGAGACCAAAAGCCCACATGAGCAGTGATATCAAGATGCCGAATATATAGGCTATATGTCCGACTAGTGGATCCAAAGTATTAGACTCTCCAAGTAGCTTCCGAGCAACCTTCCCAAGATAGAGAATGCTGTGCGTAGTCAGTATCAATACCTATTCATATGGACTGACAGTTACCTGAATCCACCAAATCCTAACGGCCCAAGAGGCAGAAAGCAGCTCACAATTGTCTCCCGCGATGGGAGCTTATGGACGGCCAGTCGCTGATAGTAAATAACCAAAACCATCATTGCCATGGGTGTCGCCATTCCCCAGAGCACATAGGATGCAATCATTGTCCCCTTGGCGGGGGTAAGGTCTGGCAAAATATCAGCTACTTCCGCACCGGCTCCAGAAGCAACAATCGTTGCAGCAATCGGGAGTAATTGGAGGGCCGTGATGCGCTCCAGCGAGGTGACATGGCTCTGTGATATGCTAGGCATATGTTAGGATCTTATGAATACCATCGGTGGGAAAACTAACAGGACAAAAGATAACGATACCGTCACTGACGCAGCAGCAACCGCGTCGACAATCCACAGTGCCCAGGCTGTCGTACGCGCCCAATCACCCCACCTTGGCACGCAGATAAACACCCACATCTCAATCAACGTGGCGAGCCCCATGGGACAAGTAGCGAGAAAAAGTGAATTGACGGGATCTTGGATCATTACGCCCCAGATCTCGGGGTAGAGCGCATATCGCAGGATGGACATGGAGAAGACGGTGGCGAAGAGGATGGCATTCAGGACGAAGAAAATAACGGCCATGTAGTCCAACGCTGCATATTCAAACGGAATAATGTGGAAGAGAATGCCAACAATTCCGGTCCCCATTGTGGTTGAGAACCATCTGCGAGCCGTTAATAGATGCGCTTCAACATGGATGCGATGAGGTCATACGATGGACTGAAATTGCTGATCACACGCCGCCATCCTGCCGTGTATTTGCGAGAAATATGAGACCGTTGGTCCCCGCGGATGTTAGAATTAGTCGCGTTCATTGTAGTTATTCTAGAGTGAGAGTAGAATAGGAAAGGAATATTCGAATCATTGAATATAGGGAGAAATATGACGGCCGGCTCGGCCGAGAGGAATCCGATCCGCCAAGCCCACTTGAAAACATCACCACATCTCTGGCGACTTCAGATCTAAGTTTCTATCGACTAACACCAGCATTGACACTATTAACTCTCTGTCTATCGTCATATGTCTTACACATTAACACATCCACAATGCGTTATGTTATGATTATTCGCTCAGGGGAAGGAATGTGTGGCAGAAGTACAGTATACCAGCTACACGCCAGTAGCAGGGGCTCGGGCAAGCTGTCTAGCTTATCTAGATGGGGACTAACTAATGTTGGAGCATATTGCCAAGCATGGGCGCCTGCCCCGGTTTCGACCTCGCTTAGTCATCATTTATGTAAGCTCGCTTTTAGCAACACTGTAACCTGGCGGCGACCCGGCCACCCGTTCAATAGAACAAGCAATCGCTTCCAACAGGTTATGACCCCTCAATTCAAGCTAAACGAAGACCATTTTGTTTATAAAAATATACGGAATCGCTTCGGCTAGCACTAATCTACCTGCTGCTGTTTCTTTTTATATCGTTATTCCACCCTATTGCATGTTCTAAGGGGGTTAAATTATTATTTACTGATTCATTGTTTACTTCTAATGCGGATTTACCCCTAGATTCGCTACCAGTTGCGATAATTATTGTAGTATCACCACCGCGATGCCTCCAAAAACCTCCAAAGGAAAGGATAAAATAACTGCACCGCAGACTCCCCTTATTAGTAACACCAGCTTTAACTGCTAATGGCCCTTTTATAGAGTAAGAAGGCAGCCCTTAACTAATATCTAATCCTATAAAGGAAGCCAGAGATAACAATATTAATATAGTAACACTACCAACCAGTATAAATACTAATCTTATTTGTTAGATTACTAAGTTAATTCGTGATTAAATAGCAATACCTTTGCGCGATAAAATCGCGGAAGTGCGCTGGGAAATGCGACAAAAGACCTTGTAACAATTATTAAACAAACTATGTATATCCAAAATATTCAACAAACTTTCCTTCATACAATGGATTTGTTCAAAAATAATGGCCTACCAAAACTATCACGCATATTCGATATGCTGAACACCACAGTTTACGTAATTGGAGAACCTCAAACCATGGGGTCCTTCGCAGCGTGCAACTTAGATCTGCATCAAAATTGGTAATAAGCGTACTTTATGGATGCATGCTTAAATATCGGTGTTAATGTCAAGTCAGGATTTGCACATCCTTTATTGCATGTCCCTTTCTCGAACCGTTAATTGGATGTAGGTTTTAGATTGAAGGGAAACAAACATTATTCACTTTAAATCCGTTTCACGCAGCAATGATCCACCTAAGGAATCAGAAACATGGAGTGCACGGCTGGTAATGTCATACTTCTTGGTAGATTTACATTCCGGCGGCAGGACGTCACACACATGGCGATGGTTTTTGTAGTCTCCTTATATTACACAAATCAACCATCCCTTGCTCAGAACCCCTGAAAGCTTACCACCAAACAATAGCGGACCATTTCACAGTTGCGACAACTGTTACCAAGGGCTATCTCCTTGGCCTGCCGCACGGTGTGTTTTGGAGTTATTCCATAGCCATTTCTTGATCTCTCGTATGGCAATACGATTGCTTTCATTGTCTCGGTAATGCGAGAGTACTTCGCCGTAGATTAAGCCATCAACCTTCGCGAATCCCAGTAAGGTTCCCGCAGTGTCGGTGTTTTCCTCTTTATCTGTAATTGTCCAGCCAAAGACCTTTCCAATCCTGGGCCTCCTTGGTTTAGCACGATCGCGCTCCTTGGATGCTGCACTTAGTTCATAGCAGACGCCGCTATACTTCCCCCAATTCCTTCTATCGTTGTGGCAATCCATGATACGAGGCAACCAGAGAGCCGAAAACCCGAAGTCTATAACCCTCTGATGTGAAGGGATCATATTTTTATTCTGTTTACTAGAGAATGTATCGATGGCCGATTGAGCCCGGGCGTTTAGGCCCATCGCTTCATTGCCGTCAAATTCTTAGCAATGGTCTCCCAGGCTCCGCTGTTAGAATGGTCCAGGCTGAAGCCATAGAGAACTCGGACACCAACGGACTTCAATTTCTTTTGTGCCATTTGCTGTAGCTCTGTGATGATACACTCATTGCCTGCCGAAGAACAATGGCCTGGGTGCTTAATGTCCAGCCAGAGAAAAGTAATTGGCTTCCCATCTTTATGCTGCGCGGCAACAGCGCTAAACAATTTTTCCACGGTATCCTGTGGCCTATCCCAAGGTGTATTCTTGTCAGCATGCCACGCATACCAGACCCCATTATAGGGTGCCACATCCACCTCAAGTGCATTGGCACCGTCACTGAAAGCTTGTGGGACCGCACTGGCATGCAAAACGCGGTGGGCAATGAGATATATCGGTCGTCGGCTATCGCTTTGCAACACAGTCTGCTCGAGAATACTCTCACCAGAGCAGCTGCCGGCCAGCAAGAAAGCAAAGGGTATTATATGAATGAGACATAGCTTTAAAAGCATTATGAAAAGGGATCCAGCAAGCTATTGATAACTATGACCTATTATCCTTGTCAGTCTCTCTATTATATAATGCATTATTTACGTTTTGCTTAACGGGCCTTTTGCTTTCATACCTCAGACCACTAAATTATTGCAAATATGTGTTGACTTGTCCAGAGTCCAAATTAGTTTTAGACGGCGCCAAGTCGAAATCAATATTAGGATACTTTATAGTACATAGTAGAGCGAATAGAACTAAATGCAGATTAGGTTTCCTATATAATCATTCTCTTTATGAGAAAAAGTTTAAGACAAAAAGTTTAAAACAAAAGTAAAGAAAGGCACGTAAAAATTAGAAAGTGAACCAGAGAAAAGCTCCACAAACCCGTCTGTTACTCGGATGGCTTGCAGGACCTTAGGTGAACATGTGCAAGTGATGACCATTACACTTCCTGCATGCCATAAGAACACGTACTTCAGCTAGACACAATTCCAAGAATATATCGCAACTAATTCGTCATATAACTTAGTGAGACGATGAATTTGTCATAGACGTTGCATTCAGAAATGTAAATGTGGGGCGATGGAAAGTCGTTACTTCAGACGCTCTCCTGGAGCACGGTATCATCGTCGTTGGCTATTAGTTATGGCCCCTAAACTGGTGATTATATAATGATATCATGGTCATCCATTGCGCGAGCGGAAATCCTTGAGTGGTGTTCTAATTTGGCCGAAAAATCATATTATATTACACAGAAGGGTTATTAACATTTCACCGGGACTTTCTCTCTCAATAGATCGATCCACTAGATACTTTATCTGGGATAGGGCGTTGGTGACGCTCTCTGTCGCACGCTGTGGCTCTGAAACGATCAGCAAATCATATAAAAGAGCTGTGTTCTGGGGAAAAAAAGAAAAGGGACAGTTGAAAATGTGCTTCTATTAGCGTTTATAGTAATGAGGGAAAAAGGCGAAGCGGGCTTTGGCGAGTAGGACTATCGGGGGTGGTTCTGGTCCCTTTCTCTCAATTCGTAGAGGTTTTAAGTATTTCAAAACATTATAATAATGGCATGTACTGAGAGAAACTAAAGGTTTGTGACTATCTGTTATCTGACACAATCATCCTTCGAGATAGTGTACAGATTAACAATATACACAGAAGTGCGACTAACTCTGCCCAAGCTTTGTGGGAAATGGTAGATAATTGAAGCCAAACTCCCGTTTTAACCTTTGACGACCTTTACTACTGCAGTACCAAGTCCGCTACCAGTCCTGTTGTAGCCATCCGCAGTCACAGTATAGCCGGATCTGATGTTTTGCACCTGAAATGTATTCGTTTTCGACCAGAAAGGTACCTTCCAAGAGAGAGTAGCGATGCAGTCATCATCTAGATCAGTAAGATCAAGGGTACCTTTTGTATCAGTAGGTTCCGAGTCGCGGCCGCAGAAATTCACGGTGAATTCGTCATTGCTCTTGATCTCTGTGTCATTAAGATCACGGGGAGGGATTTCCTTCTCTTTGTCGCCCGCCTCGTGAAATTTTCCGCTGTGATTTTAACATGTTAAAAGGCAAGCCCCAGTGCTGGGTAGTAATGGAAGGTGCTACATACGGCTGTGCATCTGCCCTCGCGATCAGGATGCTCTCGCCATTATTGTTCACAATTCTGATCGTGCCATCTTGTGCGTACATTTTGGATGGGTAGCCTCGGGTTCTGGGTAATACCGAGCAATACTAGCTACCGCAGCGAGATGACAAGAATGTATAAAGGGCACCGTAGACTTACTTATATTAAGGTCAAACTGTGAATGCTCCAGCAAACAATTACCGAGCAAAGGCTGACCAGCTACTATTATAAGTTCGACAATATTCTGACAGAGGAGCCATAGTGCAATGGAACTGTTGGCATCATGCAAGGAGACAGAAAGTGGAGTACGATTCGATGAGTTTGTAGTGCCACTGGGGTACTATGGAAGCCCACCATTTATTCAAGAGGTGACGCCATGTATGATAACTTGACACCTGCTCTCTCCATGGCAGTTTCTTTGGAGGTAGAAAGTAAGCCTGCGTTTAATGCACGAGGGCTTTCCCGCGCTAGCTGATCAGATTAAATCGAGGAGTACCCACCGGTTGTTTGCCGCCTATGTGAGGACACCGACAATCTACAACTCAGGGACGCTGGATCAATCGCGGGTGCCGGGATGCGCGGTCAAGAGTTAAACTTCTATTGCTAAAGCTCTGCTCCCAAAGCGGCCAATATTCCCTTGAAGTTAGCAATACCATGGGTAAGTCTTATGTAGATCGCTTCCGTTCGCATGTACACTTATCCTTGCGTGTGTTCTTATAGTATCAGAAGCAATCAAGCCTCAAGTATAAGATAATTCACAAGATACTACGAAGGCCTATTCCTGGACATTAAGACGATCGTAATCGGCTACCTACCTAACAAAGAAGGTTTAACTTATTTGTAGCGTGTTTGCCTTGACATCATCACTGGCGTTATGCAGCAGATAGAGCAGATGCATCACGGCACCTGACGCTAAAAGCATTCGCTAAAAGGTCTCGGCTGAGTATAGTTGTAAAGTCAACTAATTCATAGCTGCATTCATACTAAGTGGTGACGCAGTACATCGAAAACTAGAATATGACATAGACCATCTAAACCACAAAGCTCTCTGTGACTAGCCAAAATGTGGAATCCGTAACCGCAAGCGGTTTCTTACCCTAACTACTGTGCCTATTCGGTTAGTATTTTCATTTGGTAAGCCATGGATCTTGCACAGTACCCCATGCAGAATCAGCCAATTAATAGCTGCATTAGTACTAGGTGGTGATGCAATACATCGAAGACGAGAATATGTCGTGACACAACTATCTACATTGCAAAGCTCCCTGTGGCTAGCCATAATGCCAATTCGGTTCATATTAGAATGTCTTTCATTATTTTAATTACTGTAAAATATCTTCTCCTTTTTGTGTATGCGCCTATGTTGATAGCTAGGTGGTAGTCCCAGCCCGAATTCCATCCCAGTAACCTGGTAGTAAATTGCTATATTCATGATTTCGGTCTCCTAGCTTTTTCAATGCTTACATGGCAAATGGTGGGTAGCTAGTCTTCACACTGTTAGTCCTGTGGCAACCGGCGCAGTGACGGTTTGCGCAGACGGTTTGCCATGTCAGTTTGCTTGTTCGTTATATGTTCTATCTACTATGTTTGGTCGTGGGGGAACGATGGAGCGTGGTAGTATATGAGGATATCTACCCTATTGCTTATCTCGATCCTCTTCCTTTCCTCTCCATGCTTAGTATTCTCGAAGGTATCGAATAGAGTTGATTTGGTTTCGTTTCCATCTCCGTTTCCTAGGCCATAACAAGTCCTATCTTCTCACTGCTGCATCTTGATACGTCCCTTCGAGACCTGACGCACAATGTAGTGAACTAGCCATCTCCATAGTTTCAGTGTAATGGATCGAATTTCGTGGTTGGTTGGATTACGGGACGACTCCTTTACTCTCCTATCGCGTGTCATGTAAACGGCTCTTTAGAGCCGCTGTAAAACCTGGCTGACATGTATCTCCGGGAAATGACAATTACTGCCTGAATTTACTCGCCATCCATGTTGTTTCCGCTTTCATCGCTTCAACCCTTCACGAGTCCATGAATCATCAGCCACAATATTAACGGTACTGGGTAGACATCCCGGAGACACCTCTTGAAATCTAGAATCGAGCGAAAATATTACTCGTACAACATTGTCCGTCTATGTCATGGAGTTGTTTTCTAGTACGAGGGTTTGGCTCAAGCCAACCTTTAATAAATTTGACTGGGTAAGTTCAAGTTGTTAGTAACTATATGCCGGGCAGCCTCGTCCGGATAAACCAGCCTACTGGGCAACGAATTCCCCATTCCTGTCGGCATTTACGCTGGAGGAAACGGGCGACAACATTGTTTTGGTCTCAGATTCGGCCGAGCCAAGATACTTTGGCAGTAGTCAATTGTAGTTTTGAAGCTGAAAAGCTTTTTTTTGTTTTAAAAAAAAAAATTTTCAAAGGGCGATGCAACGGTGGCTTTCGGAAAAGTATTGTTGTAACTACATTCTGAACGTCATCCCATTCTTTCCGAATTAAACAAGGTCAGCCAGCCGCATATTGACGATCAGTATGAATGCTGCAAGCGTGCCTACCTCACTGTGAACGTGGAGGTGAAAGAATGCTTGTGTAACACTAGTCGGGTTGTTATGATAATTAGATTCTAGTAGGTTAGGTCCGCAATGCCAAGAACAGTTCCGCAAACGGGGGTAGTATTTCCTCCTAGTCGCTTGGAGTCCCTTGTATTAGCCATCACAGGGGGATATTTAAAGAGGAACAAGGACCATTTTTTTACAAGCTTTTGGAACCCCCAAGTAAACGCGACATACTATATTCCATAATTTGTATTGGTGCTTATAACAAATCCATTTACTTTGTTCTATTTAAATTTTTGCCACTGCGATGGGTTCCGGAGCTTCCACTCAGGGTAACGGGGAAAATCCCGAGATCGTGGCTGAAGCGCAATGGGTCGTTATCCGCGTGAAGAACAAAATCAGGAATCAACCCATATCTGTCAAGAACGCAAAACTCAAGTGGTATGCAATGTTCTAATGTGCCTGTAGCACATACAGTACTAATTCTGCTAGGGGCAAATTCTACGACGGAAACGACCAGGACAATGAGGTTCCTGCCAGCGACATAAACAAGCTTGATATTCAGCCTAACAAAACAGGGAACATTGCTGCGGCTGGCCGCGCGCATGCTGCGTCCGGTACTGAAGGAACTATCGATCTGAAGGATGGTGACACGAAAATATGTACTCTCTACTGGCTCTGCCCATGGGGGGAAAAGACCAACGATTTCCAACTCCGCGACCTAGAAGAGGACGATTATGGTGTAACTGTGAAAGCTTGGAACCGGAAGAACGGTGCGCTAGGGCATGTGGATGTCATTGTTTCTAAATACTAGAAAGAGCACGAGTAAAAGAGGTGGCACGGTGGTGGCGTGATGCTTTACTCGAACTGACCAGACGCAAGAGAAAATCAAGTATAAGATATTCCCACCGCTTCCGAGTAAAACATTCATTGCAAATGCAGAGACTCGTTGTGGGTCTTATTAATTAACGCTGTAAGTATTAGGCGGCACCGGAATGCTTCTGGTACTTATTACTGGCTGTCAGCGATCCTGTTATTCCAAGTGAGCCGCGAAGTAGTTTGTCGAACATGGCAAGGACCAATGGCATGCGCGTTATAGGTAACATTAATTCCCTTATCCTTGAAAGTTTAAGTAGAGTGTGTTAGAAGCTGTGTGTGTAATAGCCTGTATATCGCTGAGGCCAGGGGTCAGGGTAAATGAAACCATCCAATCCTGGTGTATGCACAAGCCGGGCTGAATATACTGTAAATCATAATGTTGTGAAAACCTCGATGGGGTTCACGGTGCACAGGGGAAAATGGGGAATAGAGCAGGAGAAGCTATACCAGCTACACGCACGTAGCCTGCTAAGGAGCGTATATATTCAACTAGATATATATCCAACGTCTCAACTAGATGCCACACTCCCTGGTCTTCAACTGGGATAGGGGATTCGGCGATTGACAACGTTGTGCGTAGCCAAGGCCTAGGAAGGAATCGGTCCGAATACCATTTCTTCAACAGATAAATTACCATCTGGCCCTCTTATGAGAGTGTGGAGCAACCTCGACAAAGAAGAGCCGCATAACTCTAGGTGGGTTAGGGCAAGGACGATCGCCAGGTTCGAACCTAAGCCAGTATGTATGTTTCCGAGATGTCTCACTCTTATCGGAACATTGTCAGATCCAGAGGTGGGTGTCGGAAGCGCATTGACCAGCAATCTGGCGACCGGATGAGGCTACTAAGAATGTTAGGTCGCCCGTTGATAAGGAAAACTTCGCAACACAATCTGTATGATACTGGCCATGGTTTTGAACGTAACGTCCACAAGGGTGCCTTTTCTCCCTATTTGATAATCTTATAAATAGTTCACCTCTCCTCAGAAAAGCCAGATTGGTTGGCGGGAAAAATGATTAACCTTCTATAGGCTAGCGCAGGAAGCGAAGTGACATTGCCTCAGCAAAACAGAAAGCGCATTTTGGTCTGCAAGATATCGCTTTTCGACGTTGATCAACGCGCTGACTTTTGCCGGTCTTCTGCCTTATTTTTCTGCGTACTGTCTGTTCATTTGGCAGTGCTACTCCCAGAGGGAAGCATTGAGATCTTTTATCATACAACACAACTAAATGAGTCATAGACTTATAGTTATCTTCAACACATCATCATAAACCATGTCTCATGCGCCGCTTCGCGAGCTTGGACTCTTCTCCCAGAGGCAGACTTCCCGCTTGCGTTTCTGATTAGGTGAAATTCCCCCTAGTGGTATTCGTCGGGTTTGCAGCGTTGCCCGCTCAAAATCAATAAACGTCACCCGACTACTTTTCTCGTCCCAGATCATATTTCCGGGTATTGGATCACTATGAAGCACGCCTAGATTGTGGATTGCCTGTAAGGACTTCTCAGCTAGTCGAACTACTCGATGGCGATCGAGATCCTGCTGCCTTGCAAGGGTCCTTCCGGCGTAACCCATGAACGTTAGATGAACAATCTCAGTAATACCATTATAAAAAGAATGCGCAGGGAAGTTGTAGGCTACCAAATAGCACTGGCACGGATACCCCTTGGATTGGAAAGAGACGTGAATACACGAGCTCCTCTTACAGTACCAAAACTCATCGGTTTTTAAAATAATCATCTTAGGTACAACCAGTACAGAAAATTGCGCATTATTAGCATAAAGGATAAGCTCTGAAAATCAGTTCAGCCTTGGCTGCGGATACAGCATTAACCCTACCCAATTTGTTCTCACGCTAAAAGTGCTGGTGCAGCATTTAGTGCTCGAGCTCGTACGCTGTATCATCTATCTCACCCGCCAGTTAGACTTAGTTAAGTTGCCGTGCATTATCTGTTCCATTAGGCTCCTCCTCCTGCGTAGTTTCCATAAACAGCCTGCTCTGACAAGTCTCACAAATACCAGAGGAATAAACGTTCACTACCTCAGGAGCCGGTGTGGCTATGGGTCGCTATTTCCCCAACCACAGCAGAATCGTGCAAAGAGGTAAAGGTCCCTGGAAAGACCAGATATCCGGCTAGCAGGAGCCATGTGCCGGCCGACGTAACTATGTTATAAAAAAGGTATTTTTTACTTTGAGCACCATTTCTACATACCGGCTTTGCACGGCCGGGATTGTCAAGGGTTCGGACTTAGTAAATATCCCCATCAATGCCGCTATTGTGCATGTTTATATTAGCTGGGTATTAATACTACTATACCTGTTTATAAATGTATATAATTGTATGTAAGTAAACATGTACTGTAAACTTAGTAGCTTAAAAAATAAGCTTACAAGATTAAACGAGATTTAAGGGCAGCCGCCAGCCTGGAAAAGAGGGCGAAAGTCACTGATACGTTTATATTATTATCAGCACCTGACTGCAAATGCTGCTACGGCACAATAATCAGCATATTAGTAGATATATTTACTATAACATATTAATATACATACAGTATAGTATAAGGCATATCTTTATTTTTCTTAAGCAAGCCTGTTTTTTGGTTGCTCTAGCTCACGCTGCACACTTAGTTACTCCCAAACTGTATATTTTACAAGGCTTTTATATAACTTAAGTAAATAATTTTAGTATATATCCCTATAAGGCTAACTATCTTACTAGGTTAAAAGCATATCCTATTAATATAGTACAGTAATTATATAAACATCACCCGATTAATATTAACTATTTACTGCAGCAATATCCCATGCACAATCACAGAGTCTGTCTATCTCTATTACCAGACTTATTTCCATTAGTTACTAGACGTGGGGATAAGGCCCATTCCCAGACTAAAGATAATTAATTAACTGTAATAGGCGTCTTTCTTGCATATTTCTATTATAGTTATAACTATTCTTCTATGTTAGCCGACATGTGTTCTGTATATATATATATCAGTGATGTTTTTACTTAAAGTAGGGAAGGATTAGATCGCCGCCGGCGTACAACTTAATGGTCCAGCAATTTAAATAAATTGCAGTTTATTAACAAACACAGTGTATTGCGCACCAAAGCATATAACTACCCATGACCACGGAGAGATGCTCGCTCGAGAGTTTTTTTGCACTAAGAATGGGACGGAAAGCCAACAAACGGCTTGTGGTGTGATAAGGCATTGGAGACAAAACAAGTCGAGCTATTCCTGGCATTAACATTGAGGCTAATGAAGTCTATGCCTATTTTAATCTACACGGGATAGAGCACTGGGTAAGATCTATGATGTTGGGAATTATTTAGGATGTCTCAGTGGAAATTTCGTGGCTTCTTTGGATGAATCCAGGGTGAAGACCACTGGTCACAAATGCCCTAAGCATAGCCACCTGTTTCTATTCTACTCACTTCGCTGTGCACTGCTATCTGCAAACACATCGAGTAAGCCAGACCAACCACTGCGTTTCGTGGGTCTATATCAACTTTAAAGAGGATGTCGCAGGATGATGAAAAGGGAGATGGGGCTTTCGACCCTGGAATGAATTCAGGGACTGGGCGCTAAACTGCACGAGTTAAGACGTGGTGACGTACTCCAATCCCGGCCATTTTGAAGATCAAACAAGCCTTAGCGGCACCACCGATCCCGGGTTGACGTGTACCTTGCCGATCAGCCTGCTGGGTATAAAATGCTCGTGTCATCTTTACCTGCGATGAGCTGCCTTGCATCTCGCCATCTATTCTGCCCCTCCTTATCGACAATCGTCAGATCCGACCACCATGGGTTCGTCGCAGGATGATCGGAAGCTCGAGAGCGGAACCGCTGCCAATGCTCCTCAAAGCAATGTGCTTCATCCCGCGTTCTACATCATGTGCGTGCTCTGGCACCCTCGCCCGATCAGCGAAGCTAGGAATCGGTATACTGAACTAAGGTCACTAGATTGTGGATTGGGCTGAGTTCGAGCGTCATCCTGTTTAATAAATGGGTTCTTGCGAGTGCCAAATTCGGTGAGAACGGTCTACATACTTAATCCCATGTATTGAACCAAGAACTAACTCTACGTTTGTAGATTTCCGTGAGTCCGCTCTGCTGCTACTTGATTAAGCAACTGACCGTCCAGCGCTGTTCTTGACAACATGGCACATGGCTTTCGCAACGGGAATGACCCAGGTTCTTGCCCATTTCACTTCCACGCTGGACTCGCGACACAAGATCCCTATGACACCAATTAAGTACATGTAGGTAGTATGTTGGCAGGTCACATCCATTGCTGATGTGTGTATACCGAGTAGGAAAGCAATTGTACCAATTGGTCTCATGTTCAGTTTGAGTCTGATTTGTGGCAACCTTGCCTACCTCTATCTGAGTGTATCATTCATTCAGATGCTCAAGGTCAGCCACGAAGTAAATAAAGTAACAAAACAGAAGCTAAGTCCCTCAGGCTACCAATGCTGTCGCCACTCTTCTAGCAACATGGGCATTCGGCATTGCACCGCCCAATCTGCGCACCCTCGGCAACGTCTTCTTAATTGTTGTGGGTGTTGTGATCGCTTCCTTTGGTGAGATCAAGTTCGATGTTTTCGGGTTTCTCAGTACGACCCCTCCCCTTCTATGGAGATCAGACGCATGTTCACATCTAACACACTGCAGTCCAAATCGGTGGAATCATCTTCGAGGCCCTACGTCTAGTCATGGTCCAGCGTCTTCTCAGCTCTGCCGAATTTAAAATGGACCCATTGGTATCAGTGTACTACTTCGCGCCTGCATGCGCCGTAGCCAATGGTCTAGTCATGTACTTCATGGAGCTCCCTCGACTAACCATGGGTGATATAAATTCCCTCGGCGTTGTCACTCTCATCGCAAACGCCCTGGTAGCTTTCCTTCTCAACGTAGCCGTTGTACTCTTGGTAAGAATCACCTAACTCTTTTTTTTTATAGACACAGGAACCCACCACTAACTCATCCGTTAGATCGGCAAAACCTCCGCCGTCGTCCTTACAATGGCAGGTATCCTCAAGGATATCCTTCTCGTAGTAGCATCCATGGTCATATTCCTGGACCCCGTCACTATGCAACAATTCTTCGGGTACTCGATTGCTCTGGCTGGATTGGTGTACTACAAGCTGGGGTGCGGAGAAAATAAAGTCGCTGACGACGGATGTGCGGTTGCAGATGGTTGATTATCAACGGAATAACCCGGTCAAAGAGCAAGTTGGTTGTTTTGGCCGCTGTTGCGTGTGCTGGTCTCTTGGTTTTGTGTGCTGCGAGCCCTGGGGGTATTTCTGGGTTTGGTGCTATCAGTACTACTGCATAGGTAGTGTTACCGACAATGGACTAGATGTAGGCATTCGCCATCAGGGCCTTATAATAGTGATTCTGTCGCATTCTATGTGCTACTTTAGGATGAGCTAGGAGAGTTGTACTAGAATAGAATTTTTTTTTGGTTTATTATTATTTTTTTCATCCTTCCAGATCGTACTTCATCATTCAACGCCTCCTAACCTCCACCCTCGCCGATGGATCGCTCAACATCTCAAAACCATAATGAACCACGTAAGGCTGATACCCCTCCTCCAGTCGAATATCATAATCAAGTAAGATCTTAGCCACCACAATCTTAGCCTCGTTGGCTGCGAGGAATCTCCCAGGACAAATCGACCGTCCGATCCCAAACGCGACATGTTTGGGACTAGTTGACGATAGAACCGCCGTGGTATCGCCCTGCTCTCGCATTTTCAAAAATCTATATCCATCGTACCTCTCAGGAGAGGGATACGTCTCTGCGTCTGACCAGGTGGTACATTCCACTGCGACGCTGGTGCCGCAGGGAAGAACCATACCGTTCGGGAGAGTGACCTTATTAATAGTTTTGCGCTCAAGGTTCACTAGATAATTAGCCGTCACATTTCAATAGACATAGGGAAAGAGGGAAAGAATCACCTAGAGCACCAGGTTTCAGCCGTTGAGTCTCCTTGATGACACTATCAAGTAGCTTCATCTTGAACAATCCCGCTGTCGTCCATCCACTTTCCCCGACCGCATTCATAATTTCCTCTCGTAGGGTCTGGATCAGCTCCGAATGCATACATATATCCAAGATAGTCTGTTTAATAAGCTCCGTCGTAGTATGCAATGCACCCATTGCCATACCCAACTGCGCAGCTACGGGGTCGAAAGACCGACCTCTGGCTACCTCCTCCATCCATTCGATACTATCGTCGAATTTCAAACTGCAATTTTCGGCATTTGCGGCTTGTTTCATCGCTGCTCGGCTCTCCAAGACAGGGGTGAGGATGTCATGGGCTCGACGGACTTGGTACCGTGCTCTGCGGCATTCGGGTACTACCCAGTGGATGACAGGACGAAGGAAGCCGGGCCAGTGGCGCAGAGCGCGCACGCTGTAGAAGAATGTGAGGGTGTAGTTGACGATAATGTCTTGCCATTCTGGGTTGCGAGATAGCTCAGGTCCGACGAAGATACATGATGATATGCGGGCGATGAAATGGATCATGTCCTGGGGAAGTCTATGGGGTGCCAGTCTGGACAATATTAATAGGAATAAAATCGAGGTATATGGTTAGGAGGCATACTAGTGCCCTTCGTCCACGTCTTTTCAAAATTTCGGATATATTGTCGTGCATAATCCGGCAATCTGTACACTTTAAGTGAAAACCCAGGTAGGTGTGAATGTTGAACATACGACTACTCTGATTCAACTTCGTCTTAACCACGTCAATGAGTATATGACTTGGACCATGGATGGCCCTATTCCCATCCATCCCGGGAATATTAACAAAATACTCCTATCATAATGAGCATGGACAACGCGCCTATATTCATCTCACTCACATCGCGAACAAGCTGAGGATGGTCAAGATCCGGACAATTCTTCACCCATAAAGTCCAAGACTCGGGAAGTATAACTCGAGATCCAAGAGTGGTGATGATACGGAACGGGCCGTTGAACTGCATATCATTAGTTCCGTAGTAATAGCAATAACTAGCATGTACCATACCTTTTTTGCTCCCTCCTGAAGGAGGTTTTCGCGTCTGAAAGAAATACTGCTCGCGCTTTTTTCTTCCTGAAGTCCCCGGGGTAGGCATTGATGGTTGGAAGGTTGGACGTTTGTAACCACTGCAGTGAGAGGAATAGGACTAGTCCTAGTAGAACTGTGATCGCTCCGTAACCTTTTATTACTCCTGGGGAATCCCAAAGATGTGGTCTTGTGGGTAGTCGGTGTGTTCGGGGGTGTGTCAAAGAACAGATCCTCTGGGAGTTCGGGGTCCATATTGTATTGCATAGTCTAAGGAACTAGGATATGACGACCGGTATTTATTTAAAATATTAAAATAGTCAAAGCCACGATTAGATCCAAATCATTTGGAATCCATTAAGGTATGTATTCAACATTACAAGTCATAGGAATTTTTAATTTTGCCCATTCTGTCTGCAAGGGATGGATGCTCAACCGATATATTCTTTCATTATTCATGATACTAAACCCGTTCGGGACCCCGCGGAGTTACGAGAACCGTAAGGCAAATCATGTGAAATTCTGGTTCACGGGTGAAAATAATAATAACAAAAAAATAAGAATAAAAAAACTCACAGAAGGCTCAGTAGGGTTGGCTAGAGTACGGAGCTATGTTGTAGTAGATTGGGTTATGCAGTTCAAATGCTGAAGACCGTAAATATATAGCCCGTATACTGACCTGCATAATTAGTCAGTGGCTTGGTCTTAGAATTTTGTAGGTTTAATTAGATTAAAATGATAATAGCCGTGGAACTAATGCTCTTAGCTTTATCAGACTAGCTAAGTCCAATAAAATAAAAATAAATAAGCTTAGTCTTCTATAACTAACCATTGACAATCCATACCAAACTGACAACTGATTGGAATGATGCATGATCAGATGAACGAAACTACCACCTGACCAACCAACTCAGATGACACCCGCAGATGACTTCTAGAACCCATCTAATATATAAACAAGGCGAGATGACTCGACAATACGCCCCCACTCATAACCACCATACCCATCATGAAGCCAGTCTATATCGTAACACTTTGCCTTCCCCTTGTATCGACCTGGGTGCTCGATCACCGCCAAACAAGATGTATAAACCCCGTCCCTACCTGAATCATGGATCTGACCAGCGCAGCCGCAGCAGGGATGTCGAAAAAAGACCCCGTGGTTCACGCTCTGGATATGGGCCAGACGGCTCTCGAGGCAGATAATACCCGTGTGTTGAATATACTCAACTGTTGCTGGAGAGGATCTGAGCTGCTGACTCTAATAAGGCTGTTATACATGCTCACCGCCTTGCTCTCATGCTGTCTGCTGTCATGGGAATTACCCACAGTGCTGTTCAGATGGGGTTTACTGTTATTGCTGCGTGGATTGATTTTATTTCTTCAAATAAGTAGCATTATATAGCGGGCTGTTCATGCTTTACACATGGAGATAATATCCTCCGGTATGAACACCCTCAGGATATCAAGCAGTCTAGATAAAGGAATCCAGTCCATTGTTCCATGTATAGTTTGCACCGCACGTCCGCTATATAAGACTCGAACGTACAGTTCCGACGTCGATGTCTCCCTGTGGAAAGTCAGTACCTGGAAGAAAAAAGAGGTATAATCGAAACATACCAAACTTCTATAGCGATATTTGACGCCATACCAGGCCACCTAAGTGCGTTTACTCCCAACGCACCCAAAATAGGACCCACATCCCCATCATGAACAAAAGTATGGCTATACACCAGTTCGGAATTCCGCCGCTGCACCACCTCCAGCTTCCGCACTATCTCACCGATGAACAGCCCCTCTACAAGCTGGATATATCTCGTCGCGTTGGCATTATATCGCCACCAGTAATTCCATTCCCAGTCACCGGCACGGAAGACCGTGTACGCATCGTCCATTGTTGCGCATCCAGAGCCGTCCAACTGACAGGGCAGCTCGTATCCATTACAAAGACGTGCCTGAAAGTTATCGGCGAAGTGATCGAAGGTAGACATCCAGCTTGATGTATTGGCATCAAAGAGCACAGCGAGACGATTCCGCAGCGACTGCGTCACAGACAGATGCTCCTTCCATTCCGGGGACGATTGGATCGTTGACAGCAGTGAACTCTGCGCAGCACAGGGAAACCCACGATCGACCGTGTCGATACCAGAGGCCTGCTGATGTAGCGAGATAGAACCTTTATGGTGTGGCCAGATCCCACGAAGGACTCCACCCGCGGAGCTCTGCGTTAATGGTGAGGAACTGGTGCGTAGCCAGATTTTTTTGTCCGTGTGATGGTTCAGCGACGATGGGATCAAGCCTAGCTTGTCGCCGTAGACGGCGCGAAGATCCCGACCGTGTTGATAGCCATCAAGTAGGCCCCCGATGGTGAGTTGGGGGTATTGGCATGACCCGTTAACGTACGAGTCTAAGAATGGATTGGTAGGGTCTGAGTAGGCCTGCCCGTAGACCTGCGCAGGGGAAACACCATGAGCTGGAGCGGCGTACAGATGAGCGTGGACTTTGTCGCAGTTGTAAGGCTGGTTCTGTGGTAATTAGTGAATGTTTTGTCTAAGATATGGAGAAAATACCTCGCCGCCAGGCAGGATATTGTACGGTGTGCGACGTTGGTGACGTTGCAGATACTCCAGATAGACCAGACGCGCCGAGACGGAGTTGTTCGCGACCGGACTTGGCAGAGAAGTAGGTTTCTGCGCGTGGATGGGGCATGGAGCAGTAATTGTAGACATCGTCATGCGAGTGTGGGCTGGCATGATCCTCAGGCGCGGTGTAGATGCCACCATACGGTCCCTAGCGAGGTGTCGGTGATGTAGGTGGTGTGGTTCAGGGGGATAAAAGGTATCCCTGGAAGCTAGAGCTGGCCTCGAGGCCAAAAAGGCAAGAAAAGAGAAAACATGTCCACCAAGCCCTGATAGATGGAAGACATGGCAGATGTCCCCGTTTTATCTGGATATCATCCTCTAGACTGCCTACTTCGGAGTTTGTCGACGGTAAAGGAGGCGATGTGACTGGGGACACTAGTCGGGACTTTCACCACTCGACGCGACAAGCCGTCCCACGTGGGTTGCCAAACAGACGCGATATCTGGAAGCGAGGCGCTGAGTTCATCCACACCGTATATTATTATAAGACAAAGATCCATGATAAATTAGTATCCATCTGAATCTACACCGTGCATGGCATGTCCATGTGGAACATCACCAATCCCGCATATCCTCTCGCCGATGGTCGGTCAACTGTCCGGACTGGGATGCCCCGGATTCATTTCATTCTATAGTTATAGTAAGTGTCTACAGAAAACCCAGAAAAATTGCCTAAAAGAGCAACTAGACTATATATATGGAAAGTTTATAATAGTAGATGTCAAGACAAGACCATTCAACCAACCGAAAACCAGGCTCCTAGTGAAGCCATAATAGATAGTCATATAGGAAGCTTCAACAATAAATGTACATAGTCTTTAAAAGACAAGCTTGTCTAAGTTATCTCTTGAAGCATTGGTAGGAGCTGGTCGTGTATAATGCCTTTCAGTGTATCTGAATACTTAGACAATATAATTAGACCAAATACAAAATTAGTGTTAATACAGATCTGTTGGTGCTTTTTGTAGACAAATGTTGTTATGCTGTAACTCCCAAAGTTTCTTTACCCGACCATCCCTGCCATGCTGACGTGAATAATGAGAACAATCCTCGTCTGTTGATTGCTAGTCCATATCAATGTTGAGCATCTTCTCTGAGTTGACTGAGTGACTCAGGCACACCGATTTATTTTGGAATCACTGAGGTGTGGATTGTGTCAAGATACTTAATCGAGATGTGTTTGACTTTTGGCTGTCGACAACTTGTGTGAGTTTGGCACTCAAGAATGCTATTGTTCCTCCAAAGCAGGTCAAAGTATTCTTGGTTCGTTTGTGTTTAATTTCGTCGAGGATCACGCCGGTTCCATTTATATGACGGAACGAATCTTCGACAAATATAGTCGGCCGTCCAATTCCTTGCTTGGTATTCGAGGAATGGAAAATTCATCAGGCACCTTGTGTGACCTATATTCTAAAAGAGTCCGGAGCTGATAGACCAAAACCGCCCATACGGAGGCCAACACTCACACAGTGCATGAGAAAAGTTGTACAGAACAGTGTGGATACTGCACTCTGAGCTGGGCAGGCGAATTTGATAATTAGAACGGTCTCAGCTCTCTCATAATATGAGATATATTCTCTAGTTCCGATAAACCCATTCGATAAAGCATGGGGTGATTGAATAGGCTGCATCCTGAAAGAGAATATGCCAAAAAGTCACCATTTCGCGGAAGGATACTGTATTGCACGACAATTTTCAGATGAGATGCTGCAGGCAACATCATAGATTCTGGTGCCAGGACAATTTGATATTTAGCAACCTAGTCATGTAATTGTTATGGAGGGAACCCGCAGAATAGAAAGGCATACCAAATAAATTCAAAAAGTGATCAAGGCTACTAATTAGCCAGGTAAATCTCTGAATTATTGAAAAGATGTATTGCTTAATGCGGAGGTGTATTCCGGATTGAATATCATATAAATAAGATAATAAATGGTGTAGAGGTAAGCAAGAGGTTATATGCGGGCAGGAAGGACGGTTAGAGTTAGGAGCAGGTAGGAGCAATTTATAAGGGAAAGGAAGTTGAATGTAAATAATAGAGAATAAATGAACGGAATAACGGCCAGGTGGTGTCATGCATAATCAATAAATTGAATTTCTTAGAGCAATGATGTCCTAACTAGGCTGTGAATGCTGCTCCTTAATATCCAGTAGCCAAATAGCAGAAGTATTACCCCATTTTTGTTCACATCTCCTAGTTATGTATCAGCGGAACTAGTCAAGTCAAAGGAAGTCAGTAATAATCATCCATTGCTTGGTAGATTAATGGGTGATTTGACAGCGCGACTTCAAGCTCAGGAAGCAATGACTTGTTCTACATAGTGGGAGGTCTGGATTGACTGTGTGCAGGAAATTGTTCTGCCCAACCCCTCTGAGAGATATTGAGTATATATATTTCACATAATGTCCCGATCTGGACTATTCTGACAAGACTCTGTATGCACGGCAGCGAATCACTACATTTGAATATTAACCCTTCTTTTCTCTTTCAGGTGGATTCGGCTATGGGACGCTTTCAACAATATCAACATGCTCAGTCGCTCTCTACAAATTAGCAATGAAAGATAGATATCTTAAATAACAAAGAGCTGGATTGTGGAGATAAGGCACAACACAGATTAATTGATTGGTCAATTCCCCTCATAGCCAATCATTTTATTCGGCTCTGGTTCCCCACTGCAACTCTAATTCTGACAGGTCTACTTGCATTCCCACATCGTATCTGGACACATGACCACGCAGCCTGTTCAGAATTAAAACCTGGAGTAGTGTATCTCCATTCTAGTCCTCAACAGCACACTATGTCTATTCAAATGGCTTCTCGCTCTATCTTCCGCCTCACCTCTCTCCGAAACGCGTTCCAGCCAGTGCCCTGGAGTCGGGCTGGTCATCGCAGTATAGCATCAGAAGCACGAAAGGAGTTTCTTTGTATTGTTCCCGACAAGCCCAATTCTATTGAGATACGGAAACAGGTTCGACCGTGAGTGCCCTGTCTATCGTCTACTGCCAGCTTTGAATAATAATGCACAGGAAACACCTCGAAGCAGCGAAAGGACTTGTAGCATCTGGAAAACTTGTCGTAGGCGGTGAATTCCCCCTCTTTTCTTCTTCGGTGAAGATTAATATTACCAGTAGCTAACACTAGATAGGGGCTATGCTTGAGTCTCATCCCATGGAGGGACAGTCGATGTCGTTCAAGGGTAGTATGCTCATTTATACCGGACGCAGCTTGGAAGATGTCCAGGAGATGATGATGAGTGATGTATATACAACAAGTGGTGTTTGGGATGTTGAAAGCCCAGATTATTCCGGTGTGTTCTCGAGAATTTACAAGTCTGATTGTCGTTTAATATGCTAACGGTAATTAGTTTGCTTCTGCTATTCGCGAAGCACTTTCGTGATTCTTCTGATGGCTCTGAGTTTCTCTAAGCATTTGATAGTATTAGTGCTTGTGCTGTGGATCCCTACTGTGCATATATTTGTCCAGCTTTGCTGTTTCCTGAATCAAGTAAATAAACGGTGGAGAAGCAGCCCATGCAATGAACCTTATCCTACAGTCCATGAACTGGAAGAATATAATTAAATACCTCAGGGAATCATCTTGAGATCGCATTGGCATAGCACGTATAAATCGATGGCTATTAACTCACCATCAGGTGGTGGACCCGAGCCTCGGGTCGCGGAACCGACAAAAGTCCTATAAATGCGCTGCCGGAACAGAATTAAATCCGTAATCACGATCCGCCAATGTTTATTGTTGGGTTTTCGTCCTGACTGGGCAGAGGCAAGGATACGTATCGGAATCTGAAAGAAACGGGAGAATGTGTCCTCAACACGGTTTCGGAGAACATGATCGTGGCCGTGAATGTGGCGTCGATCGATGCGCCGTATGGGGTGTCGGAATGGGACATATTAGGCCTTTATAAGGCGCCCACCACGACCGTCAAACCAGCCAGGGTCCAGGATCTGTGTTCTCGATCGAGGGCAAAGTGGTCGACATCAAGGAATTCACCGATCATGTACAACCCGGCATGAGTATTGCTTCGTTGGTGCTTATCAAAGGGAACTCGGTTTTGGGTTCAGGAGGACGCGATCAACAAGGAGGGTAGCCACATTGATCTTGACAAGCTGCGTCCCTTGGGGGTCAGCTTGGAGGGATGTCATACGGTCGCATCACGTCGACATTTGAGTTACCCGGAAACAATGGCAGATGAACAAGCGAATAGTGAGCTTCTGACTCGGTTGGATGGGTCGAGAATGAATAGATGATGTCTGCTTGTGGTGTGAATAATTTTTTTTTTTTTTTTACATCTCGCATTAGCTGCCACATATTTGGCATTGGGTGCGGTATTTGTGATATGGAATAGACCTGGATATATTGTTTTAGAGTTGCAAATATTTTTTCTTATGTATCTTTATGACTATGGAATATACTCGTGGTTATCTCGGTCAAAATAAGGTAAAAATAAAGTAAGACGCTCTCAAAAAAAAAATTAAAAAATTAAAATAAAATGAAATGAAAACAAAAGATGGACAATTGGTTTCTAGTTATGTGGTAGGGACTGGCGATCATCTCGGCGTACTCCGGATACTGAACTTTCAAATACCTGATTGATTGCATAGCAAACAATAGCGCTTATTAGGCCATATCAATTGGCTGTTATTCCGTTGGGCATCTTTTTCCAGACAGATCTTTTAAACAGTCTCTCCTGCGTCTCCTATATGCGTTATTTAACTGCGGCCCGATGTAGCCCCGAACCCTCTGTAGTTTTATGGCGTGATGTCGTTGGAAGGGCGCGCAGCATGACGGCTAACAGCGTTATGATGAGATACTTAAATTCCTTATCTATGTAGTTGTATCTCTTTTCTTTTCCATCTTGAAGAAAGCAACTTCTACTAGAAATGGCGGAGCAAAATCGAGCGCCAGCGGACAGTATCACAGTCATCCACGCTATTGGGGTAGATGCTGGACCATCCCAAGAGATCTCCCCTAATGAGAGCCCCGTCGAGGGCTCATGATCTCCCAGAACACCTAAAATTCCGCACAAAGCTCCGTCTCGCCGCTATCCTAGTCGCAATCTATGTACAGCACCCCAGTCCGAGCCACAATGGCCCAAGTGACTAAACCCTCTAGCTCGTTCTCTTCGTCGCAGCATTCGATCAAACTATCATTGCAACATCCATCCCAACGATATCCGCCTCTCTGCACTCCGCCTCGGGCTACACATGGATCGGTGGTGCGTACTTGCTGGCCAACACCGCGGCCGGTCCACTCTGGGCGAAATGCAGCGATATTTGGGGTCGCAAGCTTGCCCTCCTATCAGGAGTTGCCATCTTCGCCGCAGCTAGTATAATCGCAGCGATGAGTACAAGCATGGCGATGCTCATCACTGCGCGAGCGCTACAGGGCACGGCAGCCGGTGGCCCTAGGCCAGATGGTGACGATTACAATCTCGGACGTCTTCAGTATGCGCAACCGAGCATTGTTTCTCGGCTTACTCGGCGTGATGTGGGCAGTCGCAGGGTCGACTGGACCACTAATTGGGGGTGCATTCACACAGTATGTCAGTTGGCGGTGGTGTTTCTGGATTAATCTGCCAGTCTGTGGATTTGCGTTTGCTCTTTTAATTTTTTTCTTGGACGTGCATAACCCTCGCACGAAGCTAAGCGATGGAGTTAAAGCTGTGGACTGGTTTGGCACGTTCTCCATTTTCGGTGTTACCCTTCTCCTTCTCGGATTAGACTTCGGCGGCGCAATATTCCCCTGGAACAGTCCGAAGGTTATCTGCTTGATTGTGGTTGGAACACTCATGATCGCGTTCTTCCTCTTCAGTGAAAAACGTCTAGCCAAGTATCCCCTGATGCTACTCGGCTTGTTCAAGAACTGGTCCAATAACGCGGCCTTTTTGGCTGCATCGGCGCACAGCATGGTCTCCATGGGCGTGAAGTATTACCTCCCGCTGTACTTCCAAAGTGTGAAGCAAGCCTCGCCTCTGCGAAGTGGTATTCTAATCCTACTAACTATGGTCATAGAAGCGACCATGGATATCATAGTTGGTATTCTGATCCGGCAGACAGGTCGATACAAGGGAGATCATCTGGGCTGGAGTTATAATCATGACGATGGGAACAGGACTATTCATCAGCCTCCAAACTGACACACCCATAGCCAGTATTATCGGGTTCCAAATCGCCAGCGGCATCGGCATTGCATTTTTATTCCAGTTACCCATGATCGCGGTTCAAAACACCGTCAGCCAGGCCGACACGGCAACAGCAACGGCGACATTGGGTTTCTTCGGAACCTAGCCACATCATTGTCCATTGTACTGGGTGGTGAAGTATTCCAGAAAAGCATGACAACACGACAGTCCTTCCTGATTGACGCAGGTGTCAGCGAACCTGTCCGCCAGGCCTTATCCGGTAGGCAAGCAGCGGCACGTGTGGACATCGGCAAGACCATACAGGACCCAGTGCAGCGTCATGCAGTGCAGGACGCTTTTGTATGGAGTATCAGGAATATGCTTATTATGTATACCTGCATCGCGGGGATTGCGATGATAGCGAGCGCTTTTATGAAGCAACTGAAGCTGAGGACCGAATACACAGAGACGAAAACGGGAGCCCAGCAGTTGACGAAGTAGGAGACTACAATGTGAGACTGGAAGATTGGGAATAATCGTTGACTATAAGAATACGGAATTATACTCTGTACTTTGTGCCTGGAAAGCGTCTGCTACCATATGGAGTCTAGACCCACTGGCTGGATGATCTGCAGAACGCGTGTCTTGTGCGCAGTGCAGTCTCAATACATTTTTTTTTTTTTTTTTTTAGATCCATTAACTATGGGCTGCATAGTTTAGTCAGGGTCTGCTTTTAATCTGTCTTTTATAGGTCTTGCGTAACATTGTTGCGTTGTAACCCACAGCTAGTGCATTACAGGGATGATGCACTGCCCTAAGCACTCCTTATAATTACTATCTAGTTTTTGGAAACGAAATGAAGCTTAAGTGACACATGAATGGCGGGAAATAGTCAGAAGCTTGACTTAATTTTACCTAGGCCTCTCTGAGCGTCTTTGACATTTTATGTCTCATCTCTATCCTGATTTAGCGGCTTACAACTTTACACTCGGCCATAAAACTAAGCCCAATATAACACATAATACTTTAGAGACTATTAGTGTAATCTCGTTGGTGGTAACACTGCCCGATCAGGTCAGGCGCATCACTGAGTGAGCCTGGAGCAGGCCTTGAGCGCCGCAGTCTGCTCACTGAGTGGGCAGTGAGCGTTCACGGAGCAGCCTGAGCCAATCACCCCACCCAGCGCCACCTCTCAGTCCCACTCGCCGCTTTTGAGATTTCTATAAGAATCTCGCTCCCTCTCCCGACCAGTTCAACACACTTCTCCTTCCCAAACGTCCCCTTTCCACTCCTGCGAGCTCACTCACGCCGCAGCTAACCGCGCTGCTGCCTAACACTGCACCCTTCAGGCAGACCGATGACCCCAGAAATGACGTGGCCTTGAGAGGCGATGTCACCATGGCTGTCTGTACGAGTCACTATTTGTCCGTACACGTACTAGCCCCATCTACCACGCACTTTGCACGGTTTCCTTCACATTTTGTCCCATTCCTGCCGCTTCCACAAAGGTCCAGACCTGGATACACGAACGAAGTTGATTTTGTCGAATTCCCCGCCTCCCCTCGTGATCGACCCTCAGGCTAACCTCGGCATTGCTGTGCTCGATGGGTAATCGCCCGACACAGCCCATCACGCGCGTTCCTGGACGTCAGGGATAATCGGCGTTTGTTGACTGATTCCGTATGGGAGATGTTATTACTCCTTTCTCTTACATTTCCTTTTCAGAAGAAAAAGGAGGGAGAAAGCAAGGGTCTACAAGCATGGTTTACCGATCATTTTGGGACTTGGGTAGTGCCCCAATAATCGTGATCATGTCTTGGCTATGTTAAAACGGATATCGATCAGTCCGGCCGCACCAGTCGCGTCATCCTCATCGAGCCTGCTTGGACTAAACAGTTATGCAGTTAGCTGTGGGTATTGCCGCCTAGCATAATATATACGTCGGGAGTGATGTCTCTGCAGGCTAAAAGAAACCCTTTCATTTGATGCATTACCAGTGGGGTTACAGTCAATGACTGGTTAGGAACAGCCGACATTTGTATTATCACCGCTGGTATCGGGCGAGTTGTACACATAACATCTGACATTGACTGCGCTGGCCGGTGACAATGTTATCGTTCTTAAAACGGTGCGGGAACAGAGCCCACTAACACTGGCATAATTGGGAACCTGATTCGCACAAGTTATGGCCCAGCTGGGGAGTCAATCTCTTCGTCAGATCGGTCAGTCAAGTCCTCAACTGGCTCCTCACTCTGGCCTACGGCAACAGGCACAGTGGCATTTCCAGAGTCGATCATTTCTAGAAAACACTCTATGCCACTCTCTCCACTATCCTAAACGTTGGCCACTACCTTGTCGCAATATAGGGCTTCGCTGGTGCTGCACACCCCAACCGCCAAGACAGAAAACAGCAGGAGTTTAATAAGTTGGTATAGTTCCATTTTCCACGAGTTGGCGGAACTGCTCTGAAGCCTGAAGGGCCGTTTCGATGCCGCTATCTTCTAAGCGTAGTCGATCTTCAACCTCCTCGGGCGTATTGTTCAAAATCTCAGCCAAAAGTCTGATTGTGATAATCACAGACCCAAACCCCTTAACTAATAGTTTCACAACTGGTTGACCCTGTTGGGGTGGCATTAAGTTGCTGTAATTTTCGAACTCGAACCAAGTCGACGTCCTAGGTCCTGTCTCTCTCCAAAGTGTCACTTAATATTCGCCGAAATAACATGGGCACTTTTCTTACCTGCGTTAAGAATTTTACCTCTAAACACTTCAGATTAATTATTATGCAAGATCTGGTGGGCTTCTACAGTGGAGAGCACGCGATTCAGGGTCTTTATAACTCAGGTTTCGTGGTACTTTTTTTCTTGTATATGAGGCATTTTTAGACCATAGGCAGGTATTATTACGCGTCATCCATTAAAGGCTATGCCTAAGATTACCTTCATATCATCAAGGAATTACATATATAATAGCACTTTTTATAAGCCTAATATCTTAACATGTCAATAGGGCCTAAATCTATCATATATAATAATACAATGGCATATATATATATACTAAGCCTGGATCCTTGTAGGATTTCCAGTTCATTATATTTCTGTCAGGGGCTGAACCCGTAGAACCTATGGGATAGGTTATGTACAAAAAGGAATCGTTGAAGAAGGGAAAAAAAGGAAGAGGAAGATGAGCGGTAAACAAACAACGTTGAAAATCACGTGATATGGATCAGGGCCGATGGCCCAAAAGGTCCTAAAAGCGGACAGTAGGGACAGCAGGGACAATAAGGATAATAGGGATATTGGCCCGAGAGGTCAAATGGGCTCCAGCCCGTTACAATGTCAAAAAATACATTTAAATACAGTGGCATTTAAAATAATCTTGTATTATATGTCTATAAAAATCTTAAAATTGTGATAAATCTACTTGGCCGGGTAGATCAACCAACAGGTCAGCTAGGTAAGATAGTAGAAGGAAATATCACTATATCTTATGCCAAGATATATTAAAAACTAATCTTTGATCTCTTCTTCGAATAGATCAAGATAATATATAGAACGCCCACAGATAAGGTAACGATACAGTCCATGAGATCATGACAATACATCAACGCGTCATTAAGATACTACCATAGCTTTGCGTCACTCGGCTTATCGATAAGGATTCAGGACTGGAGCCTGGCCGATTCTCGGCCTATCCTTCACAAAAATTCTAATTAAATTTTATTAGCATTCTAAAATATTCATATATCAAGGAATATTTCTATTTTTATTATACTCTATGTTGTTAAAATATTAATGTAAAGGGCTGGAGCTCCTTTTGACCTCTCGGGCTAATTACCCCGTTGTCCCCTTTGTCCCCTATTGTCCCGTCCCTACGGGGGCCCTTTGGCCCTTTTGGCCCCATGGCCCTCGAGGACCCATATCACGTGACTTTTCATTTTCCACTTTCTTCCTTGATTCCTTTTTGTACATAGCCTATCTTATGAGTTCTACGGGTTCAGCCCCTGACAATTAAGGTCATAAAAAGTGCTAATTTATACGCAGACAGAGGCGTGTAGCTCGGTGGTCTGCGCAGCTCGGTGGTTGGTCACGTTAAAAGGACGTAGTTACGTAAAAAAAAAAAAATAAAATAAAAATCTTTCTAGACCCACAAGTCCAGGAACGGAGGTAAATGCCAATGTGTCATGCCAAGGACCAATCGCTATCAATTTACTGGGTTCAGCAAGTACACAGCCTCAGGAAACAGCAGATACTGGCAACAGCTTAGGCGTTGGATTGAATGTAAATAAGTCATGCGGAGTACGTAGTAATAAAATAATGAAGCGAACCTATTGGTATTCATAGTCTCATGATATAGAGGATCGAATTGAAGTCTTGGAGGATGTTATGCGTGGGGGGTCGGTAACGAGCTGAATGGGGCGCTACGGTGCGAAAGGGAGTGTCTATATAGGAGAGAAGATAGAGCCACGTATATTGCAGAACTAATCGCTGGCCTTCAAGAGTTCAGGCCCGCGGGTGCGAATATAAACACTTCGCACCTGACTAAGCATCTTAGCTAAGGATCTAGCTATCGCGCTTCCGGCGCTCCTAACACTATCTTCCCCTCCAAGAGGCTTCGCCCTCGAAGCCTTAAAGACTGTAGTATGAATATATGCGTTATGATGGGTAATGTGTTATAGATTCCAATCCCTTGAGTCCTTCCCATAATGGTTTGTGCGGTTGATCGATGTTTGGTACGATGTCTTGGAGCTTGGGTGAGTGTAGGTGTGTTTTCGCAGGTAGTCGCTCCATGGCAACAGTTCTGCTTCATTCACTGCAGTTTTTCGCCCGTTTGAGCTTAGTTCTGTTGTTGACGCTGAGCTTTTTTTGCTTCCTCTCTCTCTTCTTCTCTTTTTCTTCTCCTCTTCTCTTCTCAAACCACCAAACTTCTTGCGGTACGTGCGCACTCTTCTGCCTCAGCTAATAAGGGTAACGGCTCCTCCAGCGCTTTCTCGCATGTTTGAGCTTACTAATATGGGTGTTTTCGCAGATGGCTCGCCGCAAAGCTTCGTCGCCTCCATCGGGAGAATCCGCCCCACGACGCCGTCGCCTTCTCCGTGGAGTTCGTCCTCGTTCATCCTCTGAAGACGATGTCGTTTTCACACCTGCGCCCGCTCGGTTTCGCCGGAATGGGAGGGATTTCCATCCTCTCCTGCTTCGGCGGAGCCGGACGAGTCGAATCGCCCTCTCCGGACGTGTCTGGTAAGTCCGGTGCGTTTATGTAAGGTAATATTGCTAATTTGTGCGAAAGTTTCATCGCCCCCTTTGTCTCCATCGGCGGCTTCGGTCGTCCAGGTGCAGACTACCCCTGCGCCGGTCCATGTTGATACGAATGGTTTGCCTTTGGCCCAGGGGGGTAGTCCCTGGTGCCACCGTTGCCTTGTTCGTTTGGGCGAGATGCTGCGTCAGCGTGTGTTTTCTTGCCAGGTCGTTTTAAACTGTGTTTATTGTACTGGCCAGCGACACCCTTGTGTCGCTCCGGAGGTTGCCGCTGGTCCTTTGGCTGTTTCTATGGTTACTGAACATCGCACGTTTGTTGGACTTCCCCAGTCTCGTCGCCCTGCTGCGCAGGAGAGGGCGGCTGGGCTGGTAAGGGGAGTATAGACGTGCGGTTCGAAAACCTCGAATACCACGCGTGGATAGCAGTACATCTGTGCCTGTCCCTGAACGCACTCCATCGCATTCGCCCATGGCTCCCGTTCCTGCGACTCCCAGTCGCCTGGGTCGTTTTGTTGATGCGGTCCTTTCCCCTTCAAGGGTTGAGTTGTCTCTTTGGGTGGGAGGTCGGTGTTATTGGGCCGTTGCGCCATCTTGTCTTAGTTAAATAGAATGCTATTTTCCTTTAGCCATGTAGCGCGTACGTCGTCGGGTAACAGGTGCTGTATTAGTAAGCCAGATGTCCAGGGCTTCAGTGTCTTCGACGTGCGATCTTGGTTCCCAGGTATCGTCATCAGGTGGATAGCCCTTCCATCGCACCAAATAGCTTATGTTACCACTCTTGTCGCGTTTTCCTCCAGAATTTGATCAACTTCCCCTCCTCTTCGCCATTAATTGGTATTGGCGGGGTCGGCTCCATTGACCCGGTCGTTCATGGTATGGCTCCAACAAAGACACGTGGAAAACGGGATGCAGACGGCGATATTTTGGTGGTAGTGAAGCTTGTACGATTGGTTTCCCCATGCATCAATAATGGAAAATGGGCCTAGCTGGCGGTGGTCTAATTTCGCATTAGGTCGCACTGTAGAGACATTCTTCGCCCGTAGCATGACTTGATCACCAATCTTGAATTGTCTGTCGATCCGACGCTTATTATATTGCCTTGCCATGGCTTTTGCGCCTTTTCAAGCGCATCCTTGACCAAGGATCGCTTTTCCTTGAGCTGTGTTGCGCGCTCCAACGCTGCTGGCGCATGGCCAGTGGGATCAGGATCGACATTGATTCTCAGGCTAGGGACGAAGCCCATCAATGCTTCATGTGGGCTTGTCTTTGTGGATAATGAATCGCAGCATTATATGTAACTTGTGCCATTGGCAGCCAGTCAACCCAATCATCTTGCAAGAAACTCGCATAGGCTCGCAGGTAATACTCTAATGTTTGGTTTTGGCGTTCTGTCTGACCATCTGTCTGCGGATGAAACGCAGTAGACAGTTTCCGCTTCGATCCTAGGCAATAGCACAGTGTCGACCAGTAGCTACTGGTAAACAGCGAGCCCCTGTCCGACACCCATCGCTTTGGATTACCAAACATGGGTACCACCTTTTGATAAACCAAATGTGCGAGTTCTGGCGCCGAGATATCCTTATTGCAAGGAATATAAAGTGCGAACTTTGTTAGGGCATCCACAACCACTAATATCGCATCATAACTCTCTGTGCCCCCTGGGCTGGCAGATATACTCGGTGAACTGGGCGGTAGTCCAGTAATAAAATCAAGAGTCAGCACTTCCCCAGGCTGCTCTGGCACCGGCAAAGGCTCCAGCTTGCCATAAGGTGCGTGTCTATGCACTTGAATTCTTTGACAAATATCGCGGGTTTTCACATAATCCAGCACATCGCCACGCATACCATGCCAATAGTATTTGCGTTCGACGGCTTCCAAGGTGCGTTTTCCTCTAAAATGTCCTCCCTGAGGATCATCATGATTTGCTTTCATAATTTCATGTGTTACCGCAGGAATTCTGGGTACATAAACGCGACCTTGGTACCTGGTAGGCCATTTTCGCCAATTCCCCAGGCCGGACTGCCATAGTCCCCAGCTTGCGATCAACTTTTCGCTTAATATCGCGTACCTCGCGATTCTCTTGGTGCAATTTGCACAAATAGTCCACCATGGACTCCTCAATGCTGGAGTAAGCTGATTCGGATCAATAACCTTGCGGACATAGATCCGTGGCACCCAGGTGTCTAGAATTCTGGTAACGCCGGCAGCACAGTCCTCATCCACGGGTGCGTTCTTATCCACGTGGGCATGCATACTCCCCATGGAGATATGCGCATCAGAGCTCATTTTATTTAATTGTTTGGACCCGCCTTCGGTGTCCAGCGCCATTATTCCCGCCCATGCGGTTTTAACTCATTGGGTGCGTCATCCCAATGACTCTTGCCCATGGCCAATTTCAACTTTGATCGCAATGTGGGAAGCAGTGACGCATCACTTACTTCATCTGCGCTCGGCAGATAATCTGGCCTTCTACTTGGCGCATCTGCGGGGTTCTTTACCCCAGGTCGGTGCTCAATATGAAAATCGAACGCGCTCAGCAACTCGACCCATCTCGCCTGACGTCCATTAAGCCGCTTCAATGTGGGCCGCATGAAACCGCTTAGGTTGGCATGGTCGAACTTCACCACTATTGGCTCCCCGCTCCTTCGAGGTAATGTCGCCAAACTTTGAATGCTTCAATGATCGCTAACAACTCTTGGTCATGCGTATCATACCTGCGTTCAGAATCGGTCATCTTTCGTGAGAAAAATGCCACAGGATGCCACTCGTTATCATCCTGTAATTGGGAGATTATCGCACTTATAGCGAAACCAGACGCATCTGTCTCTACCCTGGTCCTATTCCTAGGGTCATAATGAGATAGCAATGGTGCGCTCGAAAACGCACTTTTAGTTTATTAAACGCAACTCTTGCGTCCTCAGGCAGCTCAAGGCGCTGGTTCAAGAACCATTGCCTTTTGCTCCTCCCCCTTGCTCCCCTCGGGTGAGCTGGGTCAGCGGCAATGCAATGCGGGAATAACCCTCAATAAAACGCCTGTAAAATTTGCAAATCCCAGGAATATCATGATCTCTCGCACGGTTGTTGGCTCCGGCCAAGCCTGGATGGTAGCCACACGGCTTTCCTCCATCTGAATGCCCGAAGGCGTGATGATAAATCCCAGGTATTCCACACTTTTCACATGAAATGAGCATTTGCTCAGCTTGGCGTATAGCCCGAATTGTCGCAGTCTCTCCAAAACTGCGGTAACATGCTCAACATGTTCCTCCTCACTCTGCGAGTATATAAGAATGTCATCCAGATAAACAACACAGCAATGGTCTAGTAGGTTGCTTAATGCGCGATTAATATAGGACTGGAACGTAGCTGGGGCGTTGGCTAGCCCGAATGGCATGACAGTGTATTCGAAGTGACCATATCTTGTGCGAAATGCAGTTTTCCATTCATCCCCTTTTTAATTCGGATGCGGTGATACGCGTCTCTCAGGTCAAGTTTGGTATATATCTTGGCGCCAGCCAAGCGATCCATAGTCTCGCTAACAAAGTGGTAGGGGTAACGATTTTTGACAGTAATCTCGTTCAAACCGCGGTAATCCACACAGAGTCGCAGTGTTCCGTCGGACTTCGGTACAAAGATAATAGGTGCGCCAGCTGGGCTTTCGAGGGACGAATCCATCCCTTTTCTAGCGCTGCTTCAATATATCTGCGCAGAACTGCGAGCTCACTTTCGGACAAGGGGTAAATTGGTCGGTATGGGGGTTCCTTTCCCGGTTGTATATCAATTGCATGGTCGTGGTCTGCATGCGCAGGTAGAATCCCTGCATTTTCCTCCGAAAGACATCTTCGAACTCCTTGTAGATTGCGGGTATTCGCACTCCTTCGCCGATTGTCGCAGAACCCACACGGATTTCGACCTGGTTATTTTCGGTTGTGGATACGTACGCTGCGTAGACTTGTTTTCCCTCTCTTAAAGTGCGATTACCTCTGCTTCGTTGATTATCTCACTTCTTTCTCCGGAGGTATTTTCCGGTATTCCCATGTTCCTAGTTCCCAGTCGACGTTTGGGTTCGCCTCTCTCAACCAAGGGTATCCTAGAATCGCATCATAATGGTCCATATCAACCACATCGAATGTTCTTTCAATCGTTCTACGAACACCGTGGCAATCTTGGGTGGTTGCCCTCAGCCTGTAGCGTCCGTAGCAACGGATGCGGTGACCATCTAGGGCCACTATCCTCCGCGGGCCTATTGCAGGCTCCGGGAGGTGCGCATCTGCGAACCTTCGGCTGATAAGAAGGGCTTGACACCCCGAGTCGATTAACGCACAAGTTGGAATAGTGCGCTCTTGTGCTTGCAGCTCAACCATAGTCTCAATGGCATTATCTTTTGGATTTTTTCTTCCTCTAGGCCCAGAGCCGCAGCTGCTCGCATCACTGGGCCACCTAGTTTTTGCCTGGTTGTCGTCCCTTCTCGCACGTTTGGGACATTGAGGCGCAATATGTCCCTTTTCTCCGCAGACATAGCATTCAATATCAGGGTTATGCGACTGCTGTCGCTTATGACCTTGGGACCTATTAGAGTTTCCTCTAAAGGCGCGATTGTTGCCTCTCCATGGCTTGTCTGGGCCCCGTTGACTGGAAGGTTGTTGTCTTTCCGTGTTGCCTGGGGTCGTCGTCCGGTGTCGCATAGCTAAGCTGTGTTGGCTTCTCTATTCTTCGCTTGCGATATTTCCTTGCGTCGACCCGGTATGGAATCTTCAATTGTTTGGAGGTGGGCGATATAGCCTTCATATGTCTCTGGTTCGTTGGGGTATTTAAGCGCTTCATGTCGCAGGTCTTGCTTGACTCTTGTCCGGAGGTGATCCTTTCGTTGATTTTCTGTGTATGCTTCTGGGGCTGAACTTCCCATTGGTTAAGGTAAGCTGCGAATTCCCGCACGTTTTGGTGATCCTGTTGTCTGGCGTCATGGTAGCGTTGGCTCGCATCTCTTCGCAGGTTAACAGGGTCGTTTAATTGGCGTAGTAGAAATTTGCGAAAGTCCTCCCAGGTAGGTTTATCGGCGACTTCCTCCTCGTGTTGCCTCCATAGGCGGATAAATGTTGCGCATAGATGTGCCGTACCTTCCACCACTTTCGTCGTATCATTAGTAAAGTAGTAGCGATTTCGTTCGAAATGGGTTTCCATGCGTGCGATAAATGTCTGATATTCCTGCATGTTCTTTCCCATGTATTCCGAGACATGTGCTGGGGGTGCTGGCGGTTTCAATGCGTGCGTGGGCTCTGGCATAGGCTGGGGTGCGGTTTCTTGTGGTATTCCATGGTCGGGTGTGCTTATATTGGATTCTGGCCGCGAAATTGTTTGCACTTCGGTTTTCTTGGATGCGTTTCTCATAATCGATAAGCTCTTGCAATGCCCTCCTTTTTATTTTCCATGCGTAATCTCTTGAGTTCCTGCTTTTGTTGGCGTATCTGGTCCGGAGTTCGGCAAATTCATTATCCGATGAAGAATCGTTTGTTGTTGTGGACCCAGTAGCCCCCTTTCGAGGGCTATCGCCTTGCAACACAGCTGTTTCCTCAACTGTTTCTTCAGCTGGGCCCGGATTCATCGAAGCATCAGGTTGTGCTTGGATAGATGCGGTATTCTCTGAGACGGGGTTGACAGAATTCTCGGTGTTTCGGGTGACTTGGGAGCCAGCACGCTGCACGCGTCGAGGTGCCATAGTGCTCCTTTCAGCGGGTTACCGTTGGGGTGAGCGATTAGAACTGTTATGCGTGGGGGTCGGTAACGAGCTGAATGGGGCGCTACGGTGCGAAAAGTGTCTATATAGGAGAGAAGATAGAGCCACGTATATTGCAGAACTAATCGCTGGCCTTCAAGAGTTCAGGCCCGCGGGTGCGAATATAAACACTTCGCACCTGACTAAGCATCTTAGCTAAGGATCTAGCTATCGCGCTTCCGAGCGCTCCTAACAGAGGATCACGTAGTATTACTCCGTACGGCTATCTGCAACTTATCCTAGCTGAGTATGATGCGATTGGATGGATCGAACAAGCAATTTGCTGTGCAGGTGTCTGAAGAAATACAGCGATTGGCTGATAGGAAGGAGTGTAACCAATAGTAAAGACCAAGAGCCTATCGGTTACATGCCGATCTTGTACAGAGTAGGTAATTGGAGCCACCACAGGATAGAGGTGGAGAAATATTATATCCACAACCATAGACTGTTTTAGGGGTAATTGAATAACAAAAAAGCAGTTCGTCAGGTTAACTATTTAAAGATAAGCAATTCCAAATGTGAATGTAGTCCCATGGTTTGTTTCCCCACCTCGTTCTGCCTTAGTACATTACCTGATCGGCCTCCGATGGAGAGCTTTTATTTTCCGCTGTCAATCCCGTCACGGCATGCATATGAGCTATTTCTTATATTGATTATTCTTATCCGTTGATTCTGCTGCCTGTGTCATCCCATGGACTGTTCTCAACATTTTCTTCTCATTGCTGATGTATGGATACTATCTTTTTTGAGCTGGCCAAATTTTGGTAGCGGTGATACCCTAGAAAATTCTGATTTTGGATTTCATTTTTTCTTAGGTCGTCAATATTTTGCCAGTGGCCTGTTAGTGCTTTGAATTTTTAAGCTCTACCTACGCAGTGTGTCGTCTTGGTCGATACAGAGTGTATAATGATAGTACGCAAAACTACGGGCGTTCTGGTTGTGGTGGCGCTGCTGGTCATTTTTATTTCAGTACTGCATCTCGGGCTGGGCGACTCGTCGCTAGATTCACCCTCATTTTATCATAATGTCTTCAGTCAAATAGAGAATGAGACCGATTATTGGGACTGGGAGACCTCCACTCGCTTCAGGCGCCCGGACACCGCTGCGAAACTCAACGTTAAGAATGATAATATCTGCGACACATTCCCCACTCACCTTCTCTCACGCATTCAAGTAGTTTTGAAGATCGGATCCTCGGAGCCGATGGATCGCCTGACGACCCAGACTTCGACAGTCACTCGGTGCATCTCGAACCTTATTATCGTTTCCGACCGCCGGTCCGAGCTGAACGGACACCATGTATATGATATTCTTGCCACACTGCCGGGATCATACCATGAGAGCTCCGAGGACTTTCAAGCATACGATTTGATGCAGAGGGGTAAGTCAATCGATGCGGCCCAAGGTTGGCGACTCGATCGCTTTAAGTTCCTCCCCATGGTTGAATTCTCGTATGAAATGAACCCGACTGCCGAATGGTTTGTCTTCCTCGAGTCTGATACCTACTTTGTATGGGATAATTTGTTCCGTCTTCTGGACCACTTTGATCCGTCAGTTCCTTTGTACTTTGGATCCCCGTCACCGGGGAAAAGACCGCGGCAAAGAGAACTTTTGCCTATGGTGGGGCAGGATTCGTACTTTCGGCAGCTGCAATTGACAAGTTGGTTGCTCGGAAAATCGGGTCGCATGGCGAATATATCGAGTCGCCGTTGAGCAAGCGGTATGAAGAGCTGCTGAAGGCTGATCCTTGCGGGGATTCGGTACTGGGGTGGGCACTGCATGAGAGAGGAGTGCAGCTGTCAGGGCTTTGGCCTATGTTTAACCCTCATCCTCTCCACGGGATCCCATTCGACAATGCATATTGGTGTCAGCCTGTTATCAGCATGCATAAGTCGTTGCTGGCAGATATGGAGGCGTTGGTGAAATGGGAGCATAAACAGGATCGAGAGGTATGTAGTGGTACATTTCGATTGAATCATAAACGACTGACTAGACTGTGTAGAAACCTTTACTATACGCCGATTTGTTTGAATACTTGAAATTAGGGACCATGGAGCGTCAAAATGACTGGGATAATGGAGATTGGGGCGGATTCAGGAACCCCGGAGTCAGCGGCTCACAAGTCCGTCGAGAACTGTCGGGAAGCATGCCATAAGCACACCGCCTGTCGCTCATACACCTACGACCATGCAGGGCACTGTGTCTTTGTACCAACCATGCGACTCGGAACGGCAAAGCCCGCGACTGCAGACGTGCAGCTATCTGCTGGTTGGGACCTTGAGAAACTCAAGAACTGGAGAGCTACTCACCCCTGCGAGAAGCCATTGTGGGTGAAACCAAGCACAACGCGAATATTTTAGAACGGATGAGTGAAGGGAACGATGATAGACGCTTTTACATATGATACCAATAACACAAATGGATTAATATGGATACAGTCGTTAAACCTGGAGCAACCCGCGTTGGGGAAAGCTCATTATGATTTTTATACTGTACGGAGTAATTCCGTCGCCTTTTCATTCGCCCAGCGGAACCAGATTCAGCTTGGTCCTCGCCAAGGACTTTCCTAATTCGGCAAGAAATACGCCCCCGATAGTACATAAGGAAGTAGAGGACGTCTCGATCTGCCAGAATATACCTACCATAAGCATAATTCACTGCGATAATGGCCCCATCCGCTTGCAATCCTCACACGGAGGAGGAGACCAACATCGCCCGCGATGTTGTCGTCTCATGTCATCCCAACACCGTCATTGACTTTCACGAGATCTACTTGTTGGAACCTCCCAAGGTCCAACTGAGTGAATTTCTCGCGCTAGAGCACGCGGGTCGTCTAAGCCCCGACTACCCCTCGTCCTGCGCGCATGGCCCTGTGTCAGTACCGTATTATTGGGTCCGATAAGATCCCATCATACGAAGAGGCCGTAATTGACGTGGAAAACCGAAAATGTGTCAAGCACAAGGTTGTGGCGAAACCAAATCACGCAGCCCTCACACTGTATGTCTGAGTCAACGTCGGGGCGAAATACCTGCCCTGAAAGACTAACTAACATGTCATGGGAGCAGGTTTGACATCCTCGTGGAGCGATGCTTTGCCTCCCCTCTGTTCAAACAAGCTCTAGCGGGTTCGACCTTCCTGAAGGCTTCGAAGTTGTCATCGAGCCTTAGCCCTTTGGTGGATTGGACTACTCCGATGAGAACAAACGATACTTCAGGGTTTGTGTTTTGCTCGAGACACCGAGCAAAAGGCCAGTGACGATAATTTCTACTCCCTACCCTCTGCCTGGCTATCCACTGCAATGGATGTTGCGCACACCCAGGAAATCATCCGGGTTGATCAATCCCGGCTGCAAGGGAGAAGGTCACGACCGGGGAATATTATCGGGGCACTGCAAAAGCATCGTTATGTACCCACGGAACTGCTGCTTACAGGCACACGGAAGGATCTGAAGCCGTTGAACGTGAAACAGCCTATGAAGGGCCGTCATTCCGGGTTTACAAACGAATCGCTGGTCGAGTGGCGGTGGAGATTCGCGCAGCTGTCCCCGTGAAGAACCACTATTCATGATGTTTGGTATGATGGACGTAGTGTCATGTACCGGTTGGCTATCAGTGAGATGGTACGAACTGCCTCTTATCAGTATTGATGAATCCAGCCTTAACCAATACGAACCACCGTGCCATATGCCGACCCCCGTCTCCATTCCACCGTAAGCAGGCCTTCGGCTTCGGTGACGGTGGTGGTGGAAACATGGCCCGAATAATCTGTCTATTGGGTGCGGTTGGCGAAGGTGTCATCAAGTACTTCGCGCCTTCGTGATCGAATCGGACGGCACGGCAAAGAAAGAAGCTACCGAATGCCATCTGCTGCACGAGGAGGATAACGAATCGGCTGAAACACTGGTGGCGCACCGGTCGCGCCGTGGTGACCACAACCGGGAACTAATCGTGCAATTTAATATCCGCTGGCCAACTACGAGTGCGTGTTTGCCTGCACAAAGTTCGACCTTGCGGAATTGGCATCTGTGGTCGCGCAACTGGTATCTGGGCGTAGATAACATCGAACGCCGGCTGGAGTCAGCGAATACGGCAACGTGGTCAGTGGAGTGTTTTTGGCCAGAATCATCAACATCTTCTACGTTCGCATCGAGCGCCCACCGTTGAAGTAAATGCGCTTGATAACTCCGTCGTGGAGATCGCTTCCCCACCTATCTCGGACGTGGGACCAAATGCGGCAGCCTGTTCTGGCCTGTTTTTCTTCAGCGTGCGGGATGGTTGGGGCATTGCTTTCCGGAGTTGACCGGCCTCGGAAATGGTCGGCAGCTCATCCTTTAGTCGGCGGCAAACCAGTAACCCCCACAAATTCAGGCTCTCGCAACGCTGGCGAATTCGGCTTTCGTCCGGGCCGAGGCGCTGGTTCGCGCGGCAGACGACCAGCGGGGCTGGCGTAGGCGCTGGTGCCGGCGGAATCCCATCGGGTGCGGTTCAGGCTGCAGAATTCGTGGACGCTGCGGACGGACGGTGATGAGTACTTCAGAATCCCCTGCCGCGGCTGGGAAGAACGAACGCAATCGCCGGGATTCTCCCATAAACCATGGATCCATGACCGTTGCTGAAGCTGAATTCCAGACCCGTTTCGACTGGTGATCGCGAATGTTCGGATTTCTGCTTAAGCCACTGTTTCAGCACTTCCGGATGACGCAATAGAACAGAAGCCTGCGCATCAAGTGGAACAAAGTCTATCGCCAGGACCCCGACGTTTGTCTCATTGCTATTATGATTGCGGACCAGCGCATTGATTTTAGCTGGGCATATTATGCCTCGAAGATGATGATCATCACTCGGGGAGCGAGGTTCCGCGGAAACCGGCATTGAGCGGCAGGTAGGAACGCTGATAAACTTAGCATTATGGGTATTCGCTGGCCCCGGTCGGACGCTGGCTGGCGCTGGGCATCGGCGGCGAAGACGCGCGTCAGGGCTGCTCCGGGCAAAAGCGAAACCCAGCCGCATGGTTGCTGGTGGTGCTGCGCCGGAATCTGCATGTCGCTGTTCCGCCAGCTTTGTGCAAACTATTGAAATTTTCCGGTGGGCGATTGCAGGCGAGGACTTTAAGTAAGCAGGGCTCCAATCACGACTGGCGATTCTTCAGGAACGGCAGCCACGCCGAATGCGCATGCGAAGCGGGCGACGCTAAGCGGAATCTTGGAGTCCAGGATGAACGGGCCTTCCGGGCGGTTTATCATCATTGAAGCATCACGATGGACTTTCTCAAACTGAATTCAGGCTGGTCGACTTCACCAAAGGTGGCTGCCTGAAGCATGCGGGTGGCGTGATGGCAGCTGTGCTGGGATTTTGCCGGGGAATCACTAAAATGGTGGGGAAGCGTTGTACCGGCTGTACCATTCCGCTCGGATCGCTCCTCTCCCGTAAAACTCGGCGGTTCGCTGCTGGTCTCTGCAGATTATGGAGCTTTCAACCTCGGTCGTAATCATGTTGGCCCGGGCGGGTTCGGTCTAAACGGGCGTCATCGGGCGGTAAGGACTGACTTCGCGTCCCATACCGTCTATCACGCCTGATCGGGCCGAAGGCGATCTCCCGGAAATCACTTCGGGATTCGTAGGTTCGACGGAACTGGAACATATGAACAACGTTGAGCTACGATGTACATTAGTCTGGAACGATAACGTGCATCAACCAGCCGATATTATCTGGACAATCGGAGACCGTCCTCATGCCGATGGAACTAGTTCTTCGTGCCGGAATCGAAGTATTGAAAGATTATATCTAACTGAACGTTCATTGATGAATCCATATGGACATGAACGACATTTTCTATGGATTTCGTTCCAAAGGATCGGTTGGAACGGTCGAATCGCGGGACTCTTCAACTTTCATTAGTTTATTCGATCCGGAATTGGTCGTGATGAATATCATATCAATGGTGCCGATCCATTATTCCCCAAAGCGATGACAGGTCCCTCCTAGCGTCTCGCTCGGGTTCGGCCATCCGTGGATCATGCGTCGATTGTCAGAAGGACATGGCTGAAAGGCTGGGAAGACGGGATGACTCGCCGACGGTTATTACCGTGCGCCATTGCGGTACTGAACAATAAATTCGGCTGGATACTGGATGGCCATTCACCATCGGGGACCTAAGGCTGGACGTTTGCACTAATTTCAGCGCTTTGAAACGCGCGGGCGGAACCTCGCGCGCCATGGTCCCCCTGTCACGGAAATTGAAACTGAAAATCTGCAGAAGGGCACCTGGTGGAGATAGCACCGTCAGCTTCATTTTTCACTTCAGGACCAGCCCGCTCCTATCTCGCTTCGCGCGGTTCGGCAATGGATTCGGGAATCATTCCGCAGGAGTGCGTTTCGATCGCGCTCCGGGACGTGAATCGGGCTTCCTGCCCCTGGCTGGCAGCGGTGTCGGGTTCTGCCTCCGAGCAGATCGGCTTCTCCTAAGTAACACCGACGAAACTTACTTCCTCTGGAAATCAGAACCAATATCTGGAGCTTCGGTTGCTGTCAGGCTGGCCCCAAACATTCGAACTGCTGAACTACCTGTTACGGGACGCTATATGCGAGGTCCTTCTTCCATCCAGAGCAGTCCAGCCACTTCTTCGCTGGCGCGGGGCACAGGCGACATATTCTTCAACGGCTGCTCGCATTCCGCATTGGTCCCGACGGTGGTATCGTCCGGGTTTAACGCGGCGGGATCCAGCAGCCAGTTCGAGAATCGTCGAACCAGGGCCGGACTTCGGGCGGTTACAGTTGATCCGGAGCTTGAAGCGAATCGGGCTGAATCTGCGGCACCGGACGGCGTACCGTACCATCAACGGAAGTGGAACTGCTCTCCGGCACCGTCGCGGTGCCGGAAGTCGAACGCACCATTGCCTCGCTGGAGACGTCACAACAAATCCCAGCAACAGCAAAAGTCCACCATCTGCGACACCCACTCCACCAAAGGCCAGCAGCTCCTCTCTGGATAACAAACCTTTCGGCGCGATGACCAAAACGGAATCAGGCGACCGCTCCGGCTGATAATATTGTACAGGGACCTCACCAGTTTCTTAATTACCAGCGGTGGTTTTGCTATTCTTTTGATCTCGAACGGGACGGATGACGGGCCGTTACGGGCTGGAGCCGAGAGGGTTGGTGGAAGAACGGCAAACCGAAGGTCCATGGCTGGATTTACTCTTCATCGCTCTCCATTGAGCAGCAAAGATAGTTTTCAGGGCCGGCATTTGAATTACCGCAACCCGAACTGTCCATGCTCGACTAAAACCGGCGAAGACGACGGCAGGAAGATCGATAATTGTTCAAATATCCGGGGAATTCGACCATCTCGCCAGCCGATTCTTCGGCATGTTCAGTGATGAGTGACGGGACGGACGGCACTTCAGGTCGGACGAACACTTCGGCCCGCGATTACGGCTATCATGCCTTCTCTCGCCAAGGTGACCGCCACTTTGTTCTCGGGATCAAATCATTCTCCTGACTTCGGCTGGGCCACAAATGTTCCCCACCTCATTCCGTGCGCGATATCGTTCCAGGACCCACCGCCAAGCGGTCTTTCGCTGACTCGAAAAGACAGAAAAACCGGAAACTCACTGAAGCCACCATCACGGACCTGCGTCCGACATATCAAATCTTATGCTCACTCCTGTGCGCCCAGCGACCCCGATCGCATCGCGGCGCGATCGACCAATGGCTGTCACCCTCTGTTGCGAAGCAGCGCCTCAGCGGCGTGGGAATGCTCATTCCAGGGTCTGCGGGCAGAGGACAGTACATTCGTTGGTGATCTGCTCCCAGGTTGCTGGAGGGTTTTCGGGCAGGGCAAACTGACGGGAGGGCGGAGGAACAGGATCGATATAGCAGCGCCATACTCCATCCACATGCCGCCCATCCGCGGGCCTCGGGCAAAAGCAGGCAAGTGAACCTGCGGACCTCCAGGCAAACCGTAAACATTATTAACCTCCATGCGATGACTTCGAACATCTGCAGACTATTAGATTGATGAAGTTTCGCCAGGTGACATCCAGAAGGAGGACGAAGTACCAGAGGATCATCCGACCATCCGAAAGCATCAATCAAAACCGGGCTTTATTCCGGGACACTTAAACGGCCATTCCATAGTCCCGCCTTCGATAGCGAATTCGAGAGAAAATACCTATAGCCAGTACTGTTGAGAGCTTGAAGCTGGTACCATCCGCTGGGTTATCTGGGAGCCACTGAATCATGGTGCAGCTTTCTGGGAACGATCTGCTGGACGCGCGGCGTGCGTGAACAGGCAAACCGAAAGCGGGACAATGGCGCCAATACAGCTCAGCGCGTTGGTTTACGGACCAGCCATCTACCCGGTTACGCGCACGCCGTTTCAACCATTGTTCGAAAAGACTGAATTCCCTTCAGAATATCCCCAGCCGAACATCTTTCGGTACGACCTGAAGTGCTTGAGGAAACATTACCTTCATCCCGGTGAAACTGGGGTTGGCGCGGCACGAAGGAGAAAAACAAGTATCTCCGAAATGAACAGAGAACTGGCACTGGCTGCTGGGACACTACCGATCTTTTCCATTCAAAGGAAGGATTTTAAGGCTGCCAGGCGTTTCAAACGGTAGCTTCGACCGGCCGTCGGCAGAACATCCAAGTGCTCGACCAGATGTTCAAATTCCGAGATCTTCTCTGTTTATCAGTAATTAAAAACTCGCTGACCGCTCGACCTTCGGCGCGAAGATCTTCCTATTAAGATATGTCACAACACATAAAGGACGCCAGCTTGTCTCCGCTACCGGCTTCCATTTTCGTCGATCGGGAAAGGCAAAATTCCATCGGACAACAGGTTCGATGGCCAGGCATCAACTGGTCAACTATCTCCGTATCCATCGCCGTCGGTTCAAAACCAGGCGCTGTCATTGCTCTCGAAAGCATTCTGAATCTCTTTCAGGATTTAACGGCTGGCATTTCACCGGGGCTTTCACCAATTATATCGTGACGAGCGGCTGGGATGGGTATTATATCTTCTGGACGCGGGCAGACGCAGCCGAGATGGATTGCCGGCTGCGGTCGCGCGTGAGACTCGCGGCGCGAAAAAACGCGCTGGCGGGATTTCTTTGAACAAATGGAGGGGACGCCCAACCAAGAGAGCAATCCCGTTCTGTTGCTCCAGCAGGAAAGAACACCAGCTGACTTCCGTTTCCAGTGAAATTTGTCTGGAGGTCCTCAAACCGATTGCTTCGGTTTAAAAGATATTCAGGAACCATCCGAAACGACCCAACCTCGCCTCGAACGAACTGCCAGATTCGTACTGATCGGGTGCTCTCAAGACATCCATCCGCTGGAGGCAACCGCCAGGGCGGCAAAACGCACGCCTCGAACACAAACCGAACGCTGCGCAATGAACGGCAGGCATCTGGGCGGCAGACCGTTTCAGGCGGCGGGCAGTTTCGCTGGTTGCAAATATCTCTCGATCCTTCGGGCATATGGGGCAGACGGCGTGCTGAGCGGTGAAAGCTGGAACTGGCTGGCGGCGGATGGTGCGGGGCAGTTCAATCGCTCGGCGCGCTCAAGAACTTGACTGTGCACTCCCTTCGCGAAGACTTGGCAGGGGATCGGCGCCCAGTATCGAAACCGAAGGGGTCCACCGCTCTCCCGAAATGAAGCGCCGCCAGCTCTTTGTTCCAGACCGGAACCTCAGCCACCCCTACCTGCCTGCCTCATTTTCCGTCATTTTTCAGCACCTGTCTGTATGGGCATACATTGAGAGCCAGAAAACAGGAATGACCCAATGAACACACCTAAAATCCCAACCTTTCTAAAACCCAGGCCATCCTCAGCTCAGGGCTCATCAACATGCTGTGTGGAGTGCCTCATTAAGGCAAACACCTGAGCCAAAGGAGGCAGGAGGCATGGGGCTGGGAGGCTTTAAGTCAGGAGCAGGCATGGTGCCTGGAATCTGTTTGCTCAGGACTGGCCTAGGAGGCTCATGCTTCCTTCTAAACCTGTGGCATGGGCCTCCTTCTGTGGATGGTGGCTGCCTCCCAAGCTGCTAACAAAACACTAATTTAAAATCTGAACAGGCTCCGAAGAACGACGCCGAAATCTGGCGGCATTTCGACCATCGCTGATCCGTTCTGTAAAGCCAGTCTGATATCGCAAAGGTTTTCAGCCAATCTGGCGCAAATTACTCAGGATTAACGCCGAATGGCTGCCGACCCGACGCCATCAGCAGGGGATGAAAACGGCCATTCAAAGGGGAGGGATTACGCCGAGGAAACGCTCGCTCGAATACGTTACCGGGACGAAATTTGTTGGTTCAACGCACCGGTTCCCGATGACACGATGCGCCAGCAATCAGCTTGGATACTGTTACCTAATGCCTGCTTGTTCCGAACCATATCATTTCGAACCGTGCAAACTGCAACCCTACCCGCAGGCTGGCCAGCCGATCTTCAGCACCTGGGCGCAAAGGCCGCGCGGCGAACATGGGGAACTCGATCATCGCTGCGACATCTGTTTCTCATGCAGAAGCAGAATCCGGGAATTAGAAGATTTTGAACTTCAGTACAAAGTAGGTATTGATCTCCGGCGCGGAATATCGAGATGCGGAATATACCGGAAGAACTCATCAAAATTTGTTACGCTCTTCCTGGCATGATAGAGATAGCAGCTGCCGAAGTTGGCTGGTGGCGAATTCCGCCAGACGTTATGGCCAGAAACCTGAAAGCGAAGGCCAAATCTAGCTCAACATCCAGGATTTATTTAGAACGTGTTGATGTGATGATCTTCAGAACAAGAAAGATTCTGGGACTCGAAGCTTACGCGGCTTGCCACGGAAGAAACTGCGGGTCTAGGAGGGTTTGGAAGATATTTTAAATAGAAGTGCTTTAAAATTGAGGGTTTCCTAGACGCTGATCCATGGGGTCTCACGGAATGAGTTAGGAGCGATGTCATTTGGTCTGTTTTAATGGCAGGCCGAGCGTGATATCTACTTGTATATTCTTTGTGAATGTACGGCGTGTTTGAGTTTACCACAACAGACAATGGCCCAGTACATGACTATTATATCCCAAATATATCATAGATAGTTCATTTACTATCTGATTCTATATCTACTGCAACAACCTTCCTCAGATTCCTCCACGTTCGCTCAAATTCTAAGCTGGGTTGGTAGAATGTATCTTTACAAAATGTCAATACAATCTCATACACACTCTCGAGTCTTACTGAGGGTCCTGGACAGAGTTGACGTAAACTGAGCCCCACATCGTCCTGGGATGATCTTCTTAGAACCATTCGCGGCGGCACGGCCTTCGGCCATCAGCTGGGGAATGGCATGCTTTATCAAGCTGTAGAGAGGTACAGCCTCATCAACCGTCGATGCGGTAATCAATCTATCAATATTAATGCGCATCCCAGAGCGATAGCGGGCTGCAAGCACGTACCCATGATTCTGTAAGATACATGCAATATTATCCTTCCTAGCGCATTTGGCGGAAGAAATGCTTTCCCTTCACATCCTGGGCCAGCGCAATGCCTCATGTTCCTCATACACGCTCCAATACCATAGAAATTGCACGCATCTGCAATCATCAGCTGCGTTTGGGTGAAACTGGCGAGAGACATTCACCCTGTGATCATTTCCAGTGGTTCCCAAATGCGCTCCACGTCTTCCCACCAAACCCCATGCGGTGAGCTGCGGCCATCACCTCCCGGTCTGGCGCGCGGTGCACCCTCAGGTGGATCGCGGACACGCAGCCTCGTTGATAATGGCCTGGTTCCCACCTTCTACAACATATCCGTTCGCACTCCAACCAAGACTGAATCCGACACTTATGATCAGCGAAAGTGTTTCGCAAACGGATTCATCAAAGTGGCCGGGTAGAACCGGATCTAACCTCAAGATCAATTTTCCACAATCTAAAATTCCGGAGTGCCTTGGAAAGTGTCGGTAGTGATGGGATCAACCTCGAACAGAAATATGTCGACACGCCCTCACCGTATCCCTGTTTTTCGAAAAATCGAAACGCCCCTGCCATATGCTCGCACCCACTGTGGGTTGCATACAGGGGTCGTCGAAGGAGGGGATCCGCAACTTCAGCTTTCCATGTTGGTCTCCGCGGGCCAAAGCCTGGAAGACGGGGCTGTTCTCTGCTGGGGAATGGTATCTTTGGCGACGATAGTGTGGCGAGCAGGTTGTGTGATGGTAGTAGTGGACATTTTTGATGATCCAGTGTTCCAGGTGAGTGTTAGACGTAGGTGGGTTGATGATGGTAGACGCTTGTTTATCAACAGTATGGAATGCGGGGTGTGGGGCATGTCGACAGGGGCGCAGATGGTGATATGCAAAGGACTAGAATACACCAGTGATATTATGGGATAGATTCAAATTGTGATGTTACATCAGATATTCCTAGCAATCCATAGATCTGACGTCAGCGATATCCTTTAACAAAATCGGTACTGGTATTTATGTTCGCTATTTACATTAACATTCTTCTATATATTTTAATTTAATTTTGGCCCAGTAGAAATCTACAATTCTTAATGTAGTGTTTTTATCGACACTTAAACTTCCTCCATCTTACATTACTATAAATTATTCGAGAATGTCTTTTTTCTTGGCTAATATTATTCTCTGTTTCGACGCCGATAATTTTTCTTGTTCCAATAGAACTTGCTGGAGCTTTTTCACAACTGTGGCTTGTTCTACAATGGATTTAATAGATGAATCTACTTTGGGCAGGGACTTTGGGGGAACAAAGCCCACGCTCAGCTGAGGTAGAAGTATAGGCATAAATAAGCTTGGTAGGCTGCTTTATATTTTCTTGTTTTATGGTGGGCTTCATGAATCAATGACCCTCTGTGGGTTCCTGTTGGCTGATCCATCGGAACTTCAAGAATAGACGCGTTGTTTGATATTTATTTCCAATAACAGTTAACTAATCCATCTATTAATGCTGGGATGGCCGGGCACTATCTTAAATTAACTGGTTTCTATAAGGGTGGAGAATATCTGATCCTGTAAACCTATGTGTAGGCGTATTATTCGGGCTGCTCTCAAAATCTTTATTCATCCCTAGGAATTCAATCACATCGCAGTTATAACATCCTTTGATCCAATCTGTCCAAGTGGTTCTTAATCTCTATATCCTGGCTTTTCCCAGCTATCCCTCCGTAGGATTAATAAACTTCGCACTTTTCTATGCCCTTCGCTTTATTCGACCCTACATTACGAATGGACGGGCCAGAGATGTTAAGACGTGGGAGAAGCAAAACTGGGTCACGGAGTAGGGCATAAGCACGCAGCGTTCAATCCTGTGCTGTGGTAGTCTTCTTTCTCTCATGGAATAACGTCTACACAAATTGTGTTCGTCCTTGGTATACGTTTGGATTTCTCTTTATTCTCCTCCTCCTGAATAAAAGCATAACGTGTAATGTATGATAGATGAATCTGCATGCCCCAGTCTCTTCATATTGTGCAAATGTCATTGCCTGTTCTATACAGAAGACTATGTGAGTAAGGTCTTCCTAACATAAAGGTTCTAATACTTATGAAATGCTCCTTAATGGGGAAATATAGTGACAATATTAAAGCGGATCCCTTTGCAATAAAGCCAGGCAGATAGCTTCTCATGTATTGCTTGGGTTTGGATTTCGTTCATCTAAGCTCTGCTTGGAAATAACCTTTCTTTTTTCTGGTCAACTGTTACTGTTACTTTCTTGATTCTCCTTACTTCCGACTGTAGTCTTTGCTAATATATTGTGCATACATATAAAGCGCCGAAACGAAAGTTAATCGCCTGGATAAATGAACTGGCAACTAGAGAAGATCCAAAAATAATGGGTGAGAAACAATGTACGGTGATCTATCATCTAACCAACGGCCATGTAAATTGTTTTTGCGCATGAACTGTTGAAGGCCAGCGATTAGTTCTGCAATATACGTCTATCTTCCCTCAGATAGATACTCCCCATTCGTACCATTGCACTATTCAGCTCGTTACCGACCCGCATAACATCACTCCTTATTCCTAAATATCAGAATCAATCTGATGAGTTGCAAATCCACACTCTTCTAATAATCCAGCAATACCGGTCTAAATTACAACACCAAACTGGCTTCTATATCCCGCGGTACAATACAATACACTGGTATTGAGCAGTATCCATCATCCTCACCCAATCTTAGTCCCGTTAGGCTTGAAGCCAGCATATGTAGGATAAGCCGGGAATTCCCACGGCACTCCTGCTCAACAACTGATAATCCAGCCTTTACCGCCCGCATTCATATACATAAACTTGGTATAGGGTATAATTAGCATATTACGAAACAGTACTGGCGGGGACGAACGCTGCATCACCGTGCAAGCCACATGCCCACAGGATAGCCCTGTACCTACCGGAACGAAAGTTGTCTTTCCTCCATCTGCAGCGCGAAAATGATGTGGTAATATCGCCTGGAGATAGTCTCATTTTGCCATCTTGACATGATTGTAATAGTTCCCATGGTGAAATTTCCCTCTGTTTGTTTGGCTGTTGTTAGAGGCTGGATGACCTTGTAGCCGATGTCGGTGTTAAGATATTTTGGGCCGTGGTCCTTAGCAATAAATAGGGGGTTGTCGAGTCATCAGGTAGGGTATTGGGTCCATCGTGCCAGGACGTTTGGTTTCTCCATCTCCGGCGGTGCCGTTTACAAAGTCACGTCGGGATATACTCTTCCTCTGGGGCAGCGAAAGGTCTACAGCAAGCAGGGAGGTTGTATTCCTTGGGTATAGGTCCAAATGGGGAAGAATCATCAGTAAAGGGGATATAGGGCGTGCTGATGCTGTGAAGTATCGTGGTCTCAGCAGCTGAGAAGACATTAAAGAGATTTTCGAATCCACCAGGGTGAAGAGCGGACCAGTTAAGTCGGGATCAGCCAGCTGGAAAGTGTGGATAGTGCCTGGAGGGATATTACCGTAATCCCTGAGGGTGTGACGCGGGCCTCGTGGCTGGCGTCGGTGACGTCTACAAACCCAGGGGATTGACAGCGACCTCGAGAGCAGTACAGATGCGTGTCACCGTGGGTGGTATTGAGTCGTGCTGATAACAACCCTGAAGGTTTGCCGTTGT